ACAGCTGGTGCGGCCAGCACATGGTGGGCTCCGAGCATTACATATCCAATGCCGTCGCCACGCCCACGGTCACCTATGTCACAATGGCCAACAACACGCGCCTGCGCGCGAGTGCGCAGGGCATCGTCGTGCTCAAGGCAAGGGGGAGTTGCACGCACATCACACTTAACGATGTGCTTATCGTCCAGAACCTACGCTTCAACCTGCTTTCCGCCGCCCAACTCATAAATTGCGGCGTTGACCTCAGCACGGACCGCGAGACTCGCGACATCCAGCTGCAGTACGAATCGAAAACCTTCCCCCGCAGGCAGATCGGAAGAGCGCACTTCGAAAATGGAGTGTACATCTTGGATTTCGACATTCCCGACTGCAGCGGCGACTCGAACGAGTTAATTGATCTCGTTCCACTGCGCTTCGAACACATCCACCGCAGGAATTGGAAGCACCCTGACGGAAGACCGTGGGTGTCGCATCATCCCCACCCACGCGAACTAGCGCTGCACGACCCTGATCCAGACGGCATCTGCAGGGACCGCCACACGCCGACGGCATCAACCAGCGCCATCATTGGCCGTGGGCTTGCTGCCATCGCCGAAGCAGAGCGACATGCACCTCCAGAAGAAGGCATGTGCGAGCTAGAGTTGGAAATCACTACGCAATACATTTTCGGCATCGATCAAAGCCCTCACGCCGGACCTCCCTCTCAGCGGCTCGAAGACCTTCTGCGCGGACAACGCCACGGAACCTTCGATGTGCGCAGAGTCGCGCGCCCTTACACACGTGAAGAGATCTTGAAGATCTACCCCCCCCGAAGAAGCTTACCGTGGAGCAAGAAGAGGACCTAGCGCGACGCGAAGCAGAGGAGCTTCACCGACAAAGCCTCGCCGAGGCACACGGCACCTTTGCATGTGTCGCATGGGGAGCCGAAGAAAAGGAGAGCGCCTCCAATGAAGGGGGGTGGGAAAGCACTGGCGGATGGGGAACGAGTGATACCGGCGGCGAGGGTAATACCGGCGGCACCTGGGCAACCGCAAGCGGCGGATGGGGCGTCGCAACTGGCGACGAAGGTAGCGGCTGGGGTGCTTCCCGCAACGAACAAAGGGGGGGAGAAGAAGCTGAGGCGCAACCCGCAGTTGTTCCCCTTGGTTTCCCCCCACGACACGCACTGCCCGCACCACCTTCACCTGAAATACAGCCGCATCGCGACCCCTGGGACACCTTCGACTGGGGCAATGAACCGTCGACTCCGCGTCGCACTGTTTATGGACCTGCTCCTGAGCCGCGTGAACCTACCTTCGTCTCCGGAACCATCCCTGGGACCAACATTCCCCTCTCTGAAATTCGCAACAGAGAGTTCTTGGCGCTAATGTTAACTAGCGCCAATGACGAAGCAGCATAAGAAGCATCAGCAGAGCCTACCCCCTTACCTGATGAAGACCCCGAAGAACCTCGCACGCGCTATATGCGCACCTCCGGTTTTCGCCCTGATGATGCACTCTGGCACCAGCGCCTTGGACACCCTTCACGCGCGATGCTGAAAAATTGCATCGATGCGGGAGTCTTCGCTCATGGGGCGCTCCTGCTCCCAGACGGCACCAAAGTGAGAGGCGCGACACACCCGCGCAACTGCACCGTCTACCCCGAAGTCGCGCTAAGCCACCAACCGTTCCCGCTACTTGAGCCAGGGACGAACCGCTACCCCAAGCTACACAAGGCGTACAATGACTTCCTGAACGTGGGGCACTTCGGAGTCGACGACGAAATGTACGCACTTACCTTCATCGATGCTGGAACGCGTTACGTGTGGGTTGTAAACGTGGAATCGCGCAGCAGAGCATACGAAGTATTTCGACTCTGGCTGGCGCACGCGCAGCGACAGTCTGGGGAAAAGCTAAAAATCTGGCAATCTGACGCGCAGCAGAGTTCAGGAGCAAGGAGATGCAGGACTACCCGGGGCAAAAGGGGATCCAGCATCACATCTCTCTCCCTTGCGCGCACCAGCAGCATGGTGTGGCAGAACGAACAAACCTCACGCTTATGACGAAGGTGCGAGTGCTGATGAAGCAATCGAAGCTACCACCGATCTACTAGACCTACGCGATGCACCACGCCGTGCGGGTGCACAACATGCTGTCAAGCACCGCCATCACCGGCAACCTATCCCCTCATGTGAGATGGACCGGAACCAAGGGTGACACGCCAATGCTCCGCGTGTGGGGGTGCATGGTGCAGTACCGCCCACCGAAATCAACCATCGGCAAATTTGCTAGCCGCGCGCGATGGGGCATTCACCTCGGCATCAGCCACGAGCACAAGGCGTGGATCATGCTGGACCTACTCGGCCAGAAGACCACCCACGCCCGCGATGTCATCTTCTACAAACGGCTCTTTCTCGAGCAGTTCCGCCACGACGAGCAGACAAATGCGAACCGCGTTTACGCAAACGACGGGCACAACTACGCAACACCCGAGGACAAAGCCGCTGCAGCAATCCTGGAGCAGGACACTAGGGGCGAATTTACGAGGGGAGATCGCTACAGCAGCGACGATGACAACGACGACAATTCCCCTGGAGGAGGAATGGGCGGAACGGGAGGAAGCGGCAGAGGCACAGCGGCACCAGCGCCACCTAAGCCTGAGAGCGATGACGACGACGTGCAGGAAGTCGTCCCGCAACATCACCATGACAGCACCGTCTCTCGGCTGTAGCTGCTCGGGCTCCACATTGCAACCTTAAAGGTGCCACGTGTCGTCAAACCTCAAAATCATCGCCAAGCCATCACTGGACCGCATAGCAAAGAGTGGCGCAAAGCAATGGACGCAGAGATCAAGGCACTCGAATCCCGAGATACCTAAGTGCTGGTCGACCGCGCAGCAATCAAGGGTGCAAGAGTTCTCTTAGGCAAATGGGTCTTTCGAGTGAAGACTGCAGCGGATGGAACAATCGAACGCTTCAAAGCGCGCAGGGTGGTGCGCGGCTACGACCAGAGGCATGGCATCGATTTCGATCAGACATTTGCGCCGGTCAGTCGTCACACTTCCGTCCGAATCCTACTCGCCATTGCATCCGCAAGATGCCTGCCTCTCCGCCAGATCGACCTGAAGAACGCGTTCCTATACGCGTTAGTAGATGCTGTGATCTATGTGGAGCAGCTGCACACCTATGGTGAGGGGGATTCGCGGGTCTGCCAGCTGCGCAAGTCCCTTTACGAGATCAAGCAAGCACCAAGACTCTGGCAGTAGTACCTACACAACATCTTGCTTGAAATTGGGTTCAAGCAGCTGCCCCACGACCCAGGGATGTACCGCCGTGATTTCCGCGGCGAATACATTTTACTTACTGTCTACGTTGATGACCTACTTTACACAAGATCGAGCAATAAACTACTGGAGCAGTTTGAGAAAAGCCTGGCGAGGCGCGTCGATATTACTTGCAACCACGAGGTGAAGCAGTTCCTAGGACTCAATATCTCCTACGCGCCAGATGCTATCCACCTCTCAGCGTCTAAGTACGCAGAAGAGCTTGGAAAACGCTTCAACATTTCACCTGCACCACTCTCCACTCCTTACCGAACCCCCGGACCAAACCACAAACCTGACAACAAAGCCCTATCTCCTGCTGGCATCCAGACTTATCAGCAGCAGTTGGGATGCCTGCTCTTTGCCTCTGTTACCTGCAGGCCCGACCTTTCCTACATCGCGAGCCAGCTGGCTCAGTACTCCCACAAACCAACAGCTAAGAATCTTCTGGACTTGCAGCGCGCCCTACAGTTTTTCATTTCAACGCCCAAGATCGGACTTTGCTACTCAACAGCGCCAACCCCATCCTTCAACCTCATTGGCTACGTAGACGCCGATCACGCAGCGGACGCCGACCATCGATGGTCCAGGACTGGCTTCCTGTTCTGCCTCGAGCCGACGGGACCAATTTCATGGAACTCGCAGAAGGAGGAGCTGGAAGCGGGATTCATCGCAGCCACAGCAGCAGTTCGCGAAGGTCTCTACCTGCAAGAACTTCTGCAGGAGGCAAAAATTCCAGTCTCGCCCACCTTTCGCCTGCACTGCGACAATCAAAGCGCGATCCGCATCGCCAACAAGCCCGGTTTCGTCAATCGCACCAAACACATTGCGCTGCAATATTTCTTCGTCAAGGATGAAGTGGACAAAGGCAAGGTGGACCTGACCTACTGCCCAACAGGTGACATGGCAGCTGACTTCGTGACGAAGCGACCGCCACGACAGCAGTACCAGCACTGTTCCGAACTCAGCGGAGTGGTCAAGCAGGTCAAGCCGAGCTATGGTCAGGAGTGAAGGGGGGTGTTACGAATAGTAATGAATGAAACATTACTGTGCACTCCTAACCGCAGCTAAGGGAAGCATGCAGTATCGAGAACGAATGCGAAGAGTCAGAGTTGACTCGAAGCGACACAGACGGTTGGGGTGGGTCTGGACTGTCAAAGCAAACAGCATCGGGCAGCTACAGGCAAGATGAATTTGGCGATAACAGTTTCGTAACTGTACGCGCCGCACGGTTGGGGATGAATTTGAACAAGGGAATGTACCCCTTAGAGTACATGGCTAGCTAGGACGATTCGAATTCCTTTGTACTCATGTTCTTACTTTCAGTATTTGCTTGTTTTAATTGTCTCAAACATTTTACATTCACTTTGCTATTGAGGTCAAGGGCCCACCACTCAGTTGTGTGCGAACCTTCCTGAGGAGATCCTAGGGTCAATCACCTTTTTGATCACAACAAAGGCTTTCACGGTTGTCATCACACATTTGTGATGATAAAACATGTAGCAGTTCATAATTGCAGAAGGTGGAGAGCATATTTAACTCCCATCCTCCAGGTTGCGGGGCTGCAACTAACGGATCTATTGCTGTATCCTCCATTCCTCCAGCCCATAACTCGCTCTCTCTTGCGTTTTTCCTCCCAGCACCTCAGATAAAGGCGGTCCGCGATTCGGCGGCCTGCACGTAGTTAGGAACGTTCAGCAATGGACGCCTCACAAGTGGTCGAGGCCGTGTCCATTCTCTACACCGATCCCTCCCCGGATCGCAAGTCGCAGGCCAACGCATGGCTCACCTCCTTCGCCGCAACTCCCGCCGCATGGGGCGTCGCCGCGAGTCTCGTCGAGTCAGCGCAGTCAATGGAAGTCCGTTACTTCTGCGCCAATCTCCTGCTTTCGAAAGCGCGTTCCGATCTCTCTGCTCTCCCCCCAGATTCGCGCGCGGAGCTCGGCGCGCATCTGCTGCGCCTCGTCGCGTCCTACATGACCAATAGCAGCGTGCCACCAGTCGTTCTATCTCGCGTCTGCCTCGTCGTGGCGGCGGTCGCGCTGCGGTCGGCCAATCAGCACGCGCTGAATGCCAGCACGCTATTGGACGTCGTGCTCCGCGCCGCTGACGTGGCGGAGAAGAGCGAGGGGGGGGCTGGGCCACAAGGGTTGGGGGGCGGGGGCGGGGGAGGGGGAAGCGCAAGCGACCAGGCGCTGGCGGTGGTGGTGGCGGTGCTGCAGGGGGTGGCGGAAGAGGCGGAGCAGCTGGACAGGCGGAACACAGAGATCACCCTCGCGCTCATCCGGGTACGCGCGCACTAGAGGATTTCACTGAGTACCGTTGACTAGCGTTGGCCAGCGCTGGTCGTGAAGGTTGCGTCGTCTATGGCGTCCTGGCTGGCCTGTGTGCACGCCGCACTGCTGATTCTGAGGCGCCTCTGGAACTGACTCCTTCCTTACCACTGCCCTCCCCACTCTGCCACATTCCCCTACCCTTGTCCCCCCATCCCTCCATCCCTCCATCCCTCCATCCCTCCATCCCTCCATCCCTCCATCCATTCCTCCATCCCCCCATCCCTCCATCCCTCCATCCCTCCATCCCTCCATCCATTCCTCCATCCCCCCATCCCTCCATCCCTCCATCCCTCCATCCCTCCATCCCTCCATCCCTCCATCCCTCCATCCCTCCATCCCTCCATCCCTCCATCCCTCCATCCCCCCATCCCTCCATCCCTCCATCCCTCCATCCCTCCATCCCCCCATCCCTCCATCCCTCCATCCCTCCATCCCCCCATCCCTCCATCCCTCCATCCATTCCTCCATCCGTCATTCCTCGCACCTCCAGACGCGCTTCCCGGACCTGCTTCAAATCATCCAGACCTACACGCAGCGCCACAGCTCCTCCCTCTCCGCGCCCTCCTTCCCCCCGCACCCCCCGCCCCTCCTCTCCGCCTTCCTCCGCCTGCTCCTCACCTGGCTGCACCTCGACTTCGCCTCCGTGGGCCAGCAGCCAGTCACAGCGTGCCAGCTCAGCACCGCCTTCCCCTTCCTCTGGCACTTCATTCTCCGCTCGCTCGCATCGCCCCACCCGCCTGTCGCTGCCACCAGTGCTGATATTCTTGTGGCGCTCGTCAGCCAATCAGAGTCACAAGGTGGGTGGATTATTCTCTTGTCGGCCAATCCGACGCCCCCGGTGGGTTCAGTACTTGTTGCATGTACGGTATAAGGGCCAATTTCACTCAAGCACTTGGGGCCACCAGGCCAAGGGAACACCCATAACCTTACGCCTCTCCTCTCTTTCATCCCTCCGTTCCGTTCTACCCATCCTTTCCATCCCGTTCCCCCAAATGTGCATTCGCCCCCAGGCCCCGGCCCGGCACCAGACAGACGCATGAGCACCATTCATGTCTGCCGTGGTGCTAACGACCCTCCTGGACGCCTGGAATGAGGCACACTCACAGGCTTACAGTCACACTCAGAGATTCCTCTCATTCCCCCCCATCCCACCCCCCAGCACCAGTCGTCTTCTCTGTGCTGAAAGCCCTGTTAGACGCCTGGAACGTGGCGCACTCACAGTTACACACACCAGCAGCATATGCACATGGACGCACGAGGCCAGGCGTGTAGGGCAGAGGCGGCTGAGCAGCACAGCAGTGGCCATGGCAGAGAAACACCCAGAGATTCCTTCCATGCTTCCCTCCCCCCGCCCCCCCCCCCCCCCCCCCCCCTCCCGCTGCACCAGACGCATCAGATGACTTTTGAGTCGACTCAGAAGCACAGCAGTGGCCATGGCAGAGAAACACCCAGAGATTCCTTTCATGCTTCCCTCCCCCCCTCCTCCCTCCCCGCTGCACCAGACGCATCAGCACCCGTGATATCCTCCGTGCTCAAGCAAGGCCCTTCTTGACGCCTGGGACGTGGCCCAGGCACAGTCAGTCAGGTCAGGCACATGGAGTTTTGAAGCCAGGCGGGCATTGCAGCGTGGCAAAGGCCGTGGCAGTGGAGCATCCAGACGCCCTCACTCACACGCCTCCTCTCCCCCCTTCCCCTCCCCTCAGCACCAGACGCATCAGCGGCAGTCATATCCTCTGTACTCAAGGCCCTCCTAGACGCGTGGGACGTGGCCCAGGCACACTCGGGCCAATGGTCACACGAGGCCAGGCAGGCGGTGCAAAGGGGCCTGAGCGCCGTGGAAGTAGCTGTAGCACAGGAGCACCCAGAGGCGCTCACATGCCTCCTTCCCCTTCCTTCCCCCCTTACCCCCTTCAGCAGCAGATGCATCAGCACCCGCAATATCCTCTGTACTCAAGGCCCTCCTTGACGCATGGGACGTGGCCCAGGCACAGTCAGGCCAATGGTCGCACGAGGCCAGGCGGGCGGTGCAAAGGGCACTGAGCGCCGTGGCACTGGCTGTGGCAGAGGAGCACCCAGAGGCGCTCACGGACCCGTGCACCCCCGAGGCTTCATCCCTTCCTCCACTTCCCCCACTTCCCCCACTCCCTCCCTCCCTTTCTACCGCTCTCCCCCCCCAGCACCGGGTGCATCAGCACCCGTCATCTCGTCTGTTCTAAAGGCCCTCCTAGACGCGTGGGACGTGGCGCCTGCACAGTCAGGCCAATGGACGCATGAAGCCAGGCGGGCGGTGCAGAGGGCACTGAGCGCCGTGGCAGTGGCCGTGGCAGAGGAGCACCCAGAGGCGCTCACGGACCCGCGTGCACCGCACTCGAGGCTCCATCCCTCCGTCCGTCCACTGCCCCCACTTCCCCCTCCCACTCCTCCCTCTCTCCCCAACTCCCTCCACTCACCTCAGCACCAGACGCATCAGCACCTGTCATCTCGTCCGTTTTGAAGGCCCTGTTAGACGCGTGGGACGTGGCCCAGGCACAGTCAGGCCAATGGTCGCACGAGGCCAGGCGGGCGGTGCAAAGGGCACTGAGCAGCGTGGCAGTGGCGGTAGCAGAGGAGCACCCAGAGGCGCTCACGGACCCGCGTGCGCCCGAGGGCATGGCTGTGGGGGAGGTCGTGCTGGCGTTCGCTGCAGGGGGCGGGGGAGCGTGGGGGGGTGGGGAGGGCGGCGAGGGGGAGAGCGCGGAGGAGGTGGAGGCGAGTGCAGACGGGGTGGTGGAGTTCTTCTCAGCGGTGAATATAGTGCCGGTGAACGAGAGGAGTGAGGGGTACCGAGGACCGCTCTTCTTACGGCTGGCTGAAGTGTTGACCACCAAGGTGAGCCATGGGGATGGCGTGTGAGCCATGGGGATGGCGTGTGAGCCATGGGGATGGCGTGTGAGTCATGGGGATGGCGTGTGAGCCATGGGGATGGCCTGTGAGCCATGGGGATGGCGTGTGAGCCATGGGGATGGCGTGTGAGCCATGGGGATGGCGTGTGAGCCATGGGGATGGCGTGTGAGCCATGGGGATGGCGTGTGAGCCATGGGGATGGCGTGTGAGCCATGGGGATGGCGTGTGAGCGAGTGCCAAAAGGGAGGGGAGCGGAGGAGGTGGAGGCGAGTGCAGACGCGGTGGTGGAGTTGTTCTCAGCGGTGAATATAGTGCGGGTGAACGAGAGGAGTGAGGGGTACCGAGGGGCTTTTGAGTCGACTCAAAAGGGTACCGAGGGGCTTTTTCTTCGACTCAAGGTGAGCCAGGGGGATGGCAGCAAGGTGAGCCAGGGGGATGGCAGTAAGTGGGTGCAGAGGGGGTGCAGGCGAGTGCTTGCTGCTGGCGTGGTGGAGTTCTTTCTCACCTGCGAGCAATGTTCCGCTGAATGAATGGAGCGATGCGTTTCGAGTCGAGGGGTGCCCTTCCTGCGACCGGCTGAAGTACTCACGAGTCACGACAACAAAGGTATGCAGCACATGTGCTTAGTTAGATGGATTAGTCACCACTCATGGGAGGGGAGGCGACGGGAAGGGAGGGGAGGGGAGGGGAGGGTAGGGGAGGGGAGGGGAGGGGAGGGGGGGGAAGGGAGGGAAGGGGAAGGGAGGGGAGTGTGTGAATGCGGTGATAGTGATTCTTTCAGCCTGTCGTTCAGCCTCGCAGAGTGGGGCCTGTTAGCCGTCGTTCACATCGTGTCATCAGGTGCCCAGATCAGCCCAGAACAGCACCGTTTCACTCCCTCCCTCACTCCCGTCCCCCCTCTTCTCTCTCCCGCCTGCCCCTGCAGGCAGCCTATCCGCCGTCGTTCACATCGTGGGCCGACAACCAGGAAGATGCTGATGCCTTCTACCGCTTCAGGGACCAGGTGATTGCAACAGTGGCCAGGTGATTGCAACGGAGGCCAGGTGATTCCAACAGAGGCCAGGTGATTCCAACAGAGGTGATTGCAACAGAGACCAGGTGATTCCAACAGTGGCCAGGTGATTGCAACGGAGGCCAGGTGATTGCAACAGAGGCCAGGTGATTCCAACAGAGACCAGGTGATTCCAACAGAGACCAGGTGATTCCAACAGAGACCAGGTGATTCCAACAGAGACCAGGTGATTGCAACAGAGGCCAGGTGGTTGCAACAGATGCTAAGATGTGCCAACAGGGACGACTAGAGTATAACAAAAGGGATGGGGTGATATTACAAGACAGGTGCTTGCATTGCATTTCCCTTTCTCCCAAGACTTGTGTCTTATCTCCAAAAGGTGGCTGCTGCTCCCTATTAGTCCTACCCATACCCATACCCATCACATCACATGAGGTACTTCTCGAGTTGACCGAGAAGTCGCCTGGTTGCTTTCGGAGCTTACCATGTCACCATGTCACCATGTTACCATGTCATCATGTTACCATGTCACCATGTTACCATGTTACCATGTTACCATGTCACCATGTTACCATGTCACCATGTTACCATGTTACCATGTCACCATGTTACCATGTTACCATGTTACCATGTCACCATGTTACCATGGTACCATGTTACCATGTCACCATGTTACCATGTTGCCATGTTACCATCTCAGGAGCAGCTGCCTGTACAGCCACTTGCATTTGTCCAAATGTTGTTGATTGATTTCTCCTGCCATCCCACCTGGTCTCTGTTGTTTTCACCTGGCAGCTAGCAGCGGACGGGTTGCACATGGCGTTTGGGCTGCTGCCACTGGAGTACATGGATCGTGTGGGGGCGTCCCTGCAGGTGGGTGGGTGGGGGGAGCTTCTTGCAGGTGGGAGTGCGTTGTTTGCACGTACTTTGGGTTGGGCTGCAGCCATTGGAGTACATGCACCGCGTGGGGGCGTCCCTGCAGGTGCGTGTGGGCACCAAGGGACCGTGACCCCGATACCCTGACTTGAGACATGGGTAGGCATGCTGGCATTGCACTACCCACTTTGGGCTGCTGCCACTGGAGTACAGGGACCGTGTGGGGGGCGTCCCTGCCACTGGAGTACAGGGACTGTGTGGGGGGCGTCCCTGCCACTGGAGTACAGGGACCGTGTGGGGGGCGTCCCTGCCACTGGAGTACAGGGACCGTGTGGGGGGCGTCCCTGCCACTGGAGTACAGGGACCGTGTGGGGGGCGTCCCTGCCACTGGAGTACAGGGACCGTGTGGGGGGCGTCCCTGCCACTGGAGTACAGGGACCGTGTGGGGGGCGTCCCTGCCACTGGAGTACAGGGACCGTGTGGGGGGCGTCCCTGCCACTGGAGTACAGGGACCGTGTGGGGGGCGTCCCTGCCACTGGAGTACAGGGACCGTGTGGGGGGCGTCCCTGCCACTGGAGTACAGGGACCGTGTGGGGGGCGTCCCTGCCACTGGAGTACAGGGACCGTGTGGGGGGCGTCCCTGCCACTGGAGTACAGGGACCGTGTGGGGGGCGTCCCTGCCACTGGAGTACAGGGACCGTGTGGGGGGCGTCCCTGCCACTGGAGTACAGGGACCGTGTGGGGGGCGTCCCTGCCACTGGAGTACAGGGACCGTGTGGGGGGCGTCCCTGCCACTGGAGTACAGGGACCGTGTGGGGGGCGTCCCTGCCACTGGAGTACAGGGACCGTGTGGGGGGCGTCCCTGCCACTGGAGTACAGGGACCGTGTGGGGGGCGTCCCTGCCACTGGAGTACAGGGACCGTGTGGGGGGCGTCCCTGCAGGTGCGAGCGAGAGCAGGGGACTGGTTGATGTGATGAGTCGAGACACGGGTGACCAACCATGATGGCATTGCATTACCCCCTTTGGGCTGCAGCCCGTGGAGTATATGCACCGCGTGGGGTCCTCCCTGCAGATGCGTGTGGCTGTGGGCAGCTCATTGCAGGTGCGAGCGAGTGAGAGCAAGGGACCTGATGCCGTGACTAGAGTGGAGACAGGGGTAACCAGCCACGGTGGCAATGTTTTGAGACGTCTCAAAACACTTCTTCATACACATGGCAATGTTTTGAGACGTCTCAAAACACTTCTTCATACACATGGCAATGTTTTGAGACGTCTCAAAACACTTCCTCATACACATGGCAATGTTTTGAGACGTCTCAAAACACTTCTTCATACACATGGCAATGTTTTGAGACGTCTCAAACCACTTGTTCATACACATGGCAATGTGTTGACCACTTTGGTTTGGGCTGCTGCCAGTGGAGTGGAGTATGAGGGTCGTGTGGGCACCTCCCTGCAGGTGGGCGTGGGTGTGGCCACATCTGATATGCTCACTTACGTTTATGGTTTCCCCATGCCATGATATACCTTTCCTTATGCCACACCATGCCGTGTCATCCCATCACCACACCATCCCATGCCATCCCATGCCATCCCATTCCATCCCATGCCATGCTATGCCATGCCATGCCATCCCATCCCATCCCATGCCATCTCATGCCATCCCATGCCATCCCATGCCATCTCATCCCATCCCATCCCATCCCATCCCATCCCATCCCATCCCATCCCATCCCATCCCATCCCATCCCATCCCATCCCATCCCATCCCATCCCATCCCATCCCATCCCATCCCATCCCATCCCATCCCATCCCATGCCATCTCATGCCATCCCATGCATCACAATCATCACCAGCGAGTGTGGGCACATGGCAGGTCGCAGAGGCGTCGCTTTATGAAAACTTCCCATGCCGTGTATGGTGATTCTTTCCATACACCACACCATTCCATTCCATTCCATGCCATTCCATCCCATGCAATCCCATGCATCACCATGATGTAGGGTGCGGGCACATGGCAGGCAGCAGAGGCGTCGCTCTTCATGCTGCGATCCGCTGCCCAAGCAGGTACGGCTGCTCGCCTGCCACCTCACGCTGCTCGCCTGCCACCTCACGCTGCTCGCCTGCCACCTCACGCTGCTCGCCTGCCACCTCACGCTGCTCGCCTGCCACCTCACGCTGCTCGCCTGCCACCTCACGCTGCTCGCCTGCCACCTCACGCTGCTCGCCTGCCACCTCACGCTGCTCGCCTGCCAGTGAAGAAGTGGCTATTCAATCTGGAGGCATACGGGAAGAGGGAGCATCGCATGACAGCTGTGCCGGTGTGGGTGATTGTTTTGCAGCTTCCTGGAAACATCTACCCATGTCGCACTCCCATGCATCCAACCACACACCCCTCCATTGAAGAAGCGGCTACTTAACCTAGAGGCATATGGGGAGAGGGAGCAGCGCATGGCAGCGATGCAGGGGGAGGTGATGGTGTGCGTGAAACGGGACAGGACGCGGAGACAGAATGCTTCCTGGCGTGGCGTTCCACCCTCTAAGAATCCCAATGTCCCTCCCCCATGCCCCCACTGCTTTTGAGTCGACTCAAAAGCTGAGCCGGGACGCGGAGACAGGATGCTTCCTGGCGTTCCACCCTCTAAGAATCCCAATGTTCCACCCCCATGCCCCCACCAATCGCCCGCCCAATATTCCCCCCCAGTGAAGAAGCGGCTTCTAAACCTCGAAGCATATGGGGAGAGGGAGCAGCGCATGGCAGCGGTGCTGGGGGGGTGATGGTGTGCGTGAGCAGCAGGAGGCTTCCTGGCCTCTCACCCCCTCACAACCCCCTTCTCCCACCCCCATGCTCCCCCCAATTTCCCCCTCAAATTCTCTCCCTCAATGCACCCCCCTACGGCTCCCCACCAGTGAAGAAGAGGTTACTAAACCTGGAGGCATATGGGGAGAGGGAGCAGCGCATGACAGCAGTGCTGGGGGGGGTGATGGCCTTGCACGCTACAGCTAAGCACCCCCAATCTCTCCCACTTTCATGCCCACCCCTTTTACCCCACCAGTGAAGAAGCGGTTACTAAACCTGGAGGCATATGGGGAGAGGGAGCAGCGCATGGCAGCGGTGTTGGGGGGGGTGATGGTGCGGGTGAGCAGGGACGCAGAGACGGGGGGGTTCCTGGCGTCCCACCCTCTGCTGGTGGACACGTGTTGCCTCCTCATTGGCTCCTTCGCTGACTGGCTCAACCTCCAGCCCGACTGCCTGCTGGGCGTCATCAGCTACCTCCTTAAAGCCCTGCAGGTGATTTCTTAAAAGCCCTTCAGGTGATTCCTTAAAGCCCTGAAAGTAATCTCTTGAAGATTTTACCAGCCTCCGCTGCCGTTCCCCTGTCCCTCTCCTTCTCTCATTTTCCCCCACCCCATCAGGTCCCAGAAGCGGTGCGCAGTGCAGCAGGTGCGTTCAGAGCCGTGTGCGCCCGCTGTGCTCCGCGTCTCAACGCCCCCTCCCTCCTCCAACACCTCATGACTGCCACGCTCTCCGCCCTCCCCTCCACCTCCCTCATACCCTCTCGCCCCCGCGGCACTGCCGCACTCCAATCCTCATTCTCAACCCTTTCCTCCTCCTCCTTCTCCTTCTCCTCCTCCTCCTCCTCCTTCTCCTTCCCCTCGTCGCACTCTCACGCGCCCGCCTCCCATCTCGCCTCCCCTCACTGGGTAGACCTAGAGATCCGGCAGGCCCTAATGGAGGGGCAGGCACGGGTTATCGCCTCCCTCCCCCCCGCCACCGCGGCCCCTCTTGCTCTCACCCTCACCTCGCCACACATACAGCTGGCGGCACAGCTGGCACAGATGCAGACAAATGAGACCAGTCGGTTTGGATCTACCAGTGATGGTGGTGGGAGGAGTAGCACTGGTGGAGCAATTGGTGCGGCTGGGAGTGGTGGGAGTGGGGGTGAGGGGGTGGGAGAGTCTCTGTCTACACAGCTGCTGCTGCTGGCTGCCGCTGTGCGTTTCCTTGAGTTTGACGACGCCTTGAGACGCATGCCGCCCTCCCAGCAACAACAACAACAACAGCATGAAGCGATGAGGAACGGAGGGGCACACATACCAGAACAACAACAATCACAGAACCACCAACAGCAGCAGCAGCAGCACCCGTGCATAGCAGTAGTGGAAGCAGCAGCACCGTTGGTCTCCGATCTCCTCTCCTCCCCCCGATGGCGCTCCCACCCGCAAGTCATCACCGCCCTCTGCCACCTCTTCCGCCACTCCCTGCTCTGCCTCAAGCACCCCTCTCCACCCATCCTGCCGTCCATCGCACCGCTTGTCACCGCATTCGAGGAGCACCAGCACCCGGCAGTATTGGAGGTGCTGGCGTTGGTGCTGGAGCTCAGTGCTTCTGCAGCGTCTGCTGGGGGTGCTGCTGGGGATCTGTCTGTCTGCCACTCCGCACTGCAGGCCTGCTCCATCAGTGCCTTCTCGCTCATTCAGGTGAGAAGGTCTCAGGTGAGCCTGTCTCGGGTGAGCCTGTCTCAGGTGAGCCTGTCTCAGGTGAGCCTGTCTCAGGTGAGCCTGTCTCAGGTGAGCCTGTCTCAGGTGAGCCTGTCTTTCGCCTTCTCTGCATGAAGCATTCGTGGGGCACCAGCACTGCAGGCGTGCTCCATCACTGCATTCTCTCTCATGCAGCTGAGCCTTGTCTCCCGTCTCTGTTCAGCATGCGAGCATCGCCAGCACCTGGACGTGTTAGAGGTGCTGGCATTGGTGCTTGACCTCAGTGCCGCTGCCGCTGCTGTGTCTGCTGCGAGTGCTGGCGGTTCTGACGGTGCTGGAGGTAATGCTACTGCTGGCCATCTGTCTCTCTGTCACTCCTCCCTGCAGACGTGCTCCATCTGTGCGGGTGAGCCTGTCTCCCGTCTCTGTGTTCGGCATGTGAGGAGGAGTCTGCACCTGCACCTGCACTTGCACCTGCTGTTGCAGGCGCCCTTTCAACACCTCTCAACCCACCTTTATCTCCACCCAACATTCTTTGTTATCCTGCTCACCACCCCCTCCTGCTCCTCTCCCTCACAGCGCGGTCACCTCCCCCATCGACCAGAGGTCCTATCAGCCCTCTTCGACATGGCCTATCGCTATCTGCTCTTCGCGCCGCACCTGCTGCTGCAGGCGCCCTTCCTGGGGGCGCTGCTGGACGCGGCAGCAGCCACAGTAGCACACGGAGAGAGAGATTCCGCCAAGTCAGCGCTCACGCTGCTCTGCTTCCTGCTCTCCCCGGGCAAGAAGGCGCTCTCCTCCCCTGCTTGGATCAGGTGAGACCATCGTCACGCTCCCACGCTGCAGCCACAGTAGCACATGGGGAGAGAGACTCAGCGCTCACGCTGCTCTGCTTCCTGCTCTCCCCGGGCAAGAAGGCGCTCTCCTCCCCTGCTTGGATCAGGTGAGACCATCGTCACTCTCCCACGCTGCAGCCACAGTAGCACATGGGGAGAGAGACTCAGCGCTCACGCTGCTGTGCTTCCTGCTCTTCCCGGGCAAGAAGGCGCTCTCCTCCCCTGCTTGTATCAGGTGAGACCGTCACTCTCCCACACCTTCTCACTCTCTCCCTTGGCGTCTCCCCTCGCCCCTCGCCAGCCCCTCCCCCCCCCCCCAGTGCCCGTTCCGTGATTGTATCGAGTCTGTTTAACCAGGGCCAACCAGTAGTCTCCTACCCCCTCTCTCCCCTCCCCTCCCCTCCCCTCCCCTCCCCTCTCCCTTCTACCTTTGCCCCTCCTCTCCCCTTGCCCCTCCTCTCCCTTCGCCCCTCCTCTCCCCTTGCTTCTGCTCTCCCCTTGCTTCTGCTCTCCCCTTGCTTCTGCTCTCCCCTTGCTTCTGCTCTCCCCTGGCTTGTGCTCTCCCCTTGCTCATCCCATCCACCCTCAGTGCCCAACCCGTGATTATAGCGAGTCTTGACCAATCAGTTGTCTCCCCTCCCCTCTCCCCTCTCCCCTTCCCTCTCCCTTCCTCTCTCCCTCTCCCCAATCCCCTCCCCTCTCTCCTCTCCCCTCCCTTCTCCCCTCTCCCCTCCCCTCTCCCCCTCGCCTCTCCGCTCTCTCCTCACACCTCCATTCCCCCCAGTGCTCAACCCGTGATTATAACGAGTCTGCAGCACCAGGGCCAATCAGTCATCTCCTCCCTCCTCCTAGCAGCCGCCGGAAAAGCCCCCAGAGACCTACTCAGACCCATCGCCACCGCTCTCCACCACCTCATCCTCCTCCCAGACCTCCACCCACTCCTCCCCAACTGGCTGGTTACCGCGTTACGTTCACCGGACTTTCAGAGAGGCGTGCCAGAGGCGGTGGGGGAGGGGGAGATGCAGCTCTTCTGTGAGTTGGTGCTGCGGCAGCCCCCGCTGCCAAGGCAGAGGTTTGAAGCGCTGGTGGCGGATTTCGCTGCCCTCTGCTGCTCTGAAGGGACAGCTGATGCGCTGTTGGGCTATCAGATGTAGTGCTGCTGATGGGTGTCATTGTGTGTGCAGCGAGCTACGGTATCGTATGCGTGTGGCTGCAGCGGCAGTGGGGGAGGGGGAGATGCAGCTGTTCTGTGAGTTGGTGCTGAGGCAGCCCCCGCTGCCCCGCCAGCGGTTTGAAGTGCTGGTGGCGGAATTTGCTGCTATTTGCTGCTCTGAGGGGGCGGCTGATGCGCTGCTGGGGTATCAGATGTAGTGATACCGCTACGATAGGGAGCTGATGCCCTGCTGAGCTGATGCGCACGCCTGATACAGTGACGCGCTGCTGGGATATCAGGTGGTGTCTTGCGTCACTGATGGGTGCTGCTGTGCTTGTAGCCCTGTGTGTTGCCGCGTGGTTTAGAGGAGCAGGCCATGTGTGTAGCGAGCTAAGCCACGCGTTTAGCAAGCCACATGATTAGCCATCTACGCGTATATTGAGATAGAGACTGATGAATCCTTCAAGTGGTTGGCTTATCTAGGCATTATATTTATCGCTTTGTTTACATCCACGATTGTAGAATATGCAGCAAGAAGAAATCGCTTGGTTGCGGTGAGGAACAGGAATCCCAGAAATTAAGCAGAAACAGGTGAGTGGTATATAGAGATTTATGGTCCTAGTGCTGATGTTGGGGGTCAGTCCTGAGATGTACGAACAGAACTGTACAGGGTGTACAGGAAGAGGCAAAGACAATGCTTATTATCTACAATTACTACTTTAGTGCTAGTAGACTAGTTGAAACACTGGCTACAGACCTTCTGCGTTTTCAACGCTCTGTACCGTAGAACAGTACCCAATCCATTTCGCCCTTCCCTCGCTATGGCTTCGGTGAGCACTTTCTGAGGCGAGGATTGGTGGAAAGGAAGCGGCCTAGCGGCCCTTGCAAACCGAACCAAGCCGATAGATTCTAGTGGCAGCTTCCGTACCACTCCATCGCAAGCGCAACGCAAACAAGCGGCTGGTTGACTGCGGCCGCTTTTGATACCTTCTCGAATAGGCGATTCGCGGCTTGTCCTTCCGAGTCGCTCGCTTGTCGCTCATCGTCCAGTAGCCGAGCCGCTCCATACATGCTTCGTCAATTAATCCGACGAGCGTGCAGTAGAGTACAAATGTTCAGGAATTTGGAGATTTTAGTCATTCAAGCTAATCTATCCCTTGGAGTCACTGGTTCACAAGTTATCGACATTTTCACTCGACTCAATTCGCCCTTGTCTTCATCAATCTAGCTGCTTTACGCCATGGCTGCGAAGTCGGTCTCCGCGTTTTCTCTGCTTGTCCTCGCGCTCCTGAGCCTGTCATTGACCGTTGACGCTGCTCGCCCGTACTGCCGCTTCGATGGGAAGCTGGTGGTGAGCAACCTGATGAGGGAGCTGCGGGCCGCCAAGAACTACACCACCTTTGTCGACGGGCTGAAAACCACAGGTCAGATTCCGCTCCGCAGCATGACAATCACATTGAATGTTCTTGATTGTGATTTTACGCGCCCTCATTCATTCCTTAATTTCGTTAGATGATTTTCCAGCCTCACGTCCGCTTCAAGTTTTTTTCTGCCGTTATCCGTCAGGGCTGGACGAGGACCTGACGGACCTGTTCCACTGCTACGAGGCGACCGTCTTCGCTCCCACCGACGCCGCGTTCGCGAGCCTTTCGAGCGACATCAAATCGGAGCTCCGCGAAAGGAAGGTGCTTCGCGAGGTGCTGCTGCTGCACGTCGTCAAGGGCAAGGTCAACGGCGCCACTCTAGCCGGGCAGAAGGAGGGCCAGCAGGTGAGCAGAGGCCACGGCGGAGCAACGCGTGTCAACGATTTTGCGGTGTATACTGTCGTCACAGCTGGGAAAATCTTTTTTCTTTTGCCCGAAACTCAGTCCGATGCTTTTACTCGATCCCGTCGTCTGATCTACTTGTAATACCCTACCCCCACCATCTCGACCATCCTACCCTAATCATACTCCCACCGAACACTCGTACCCAAAATCTCTCAAACCACCTAAACTTGCTTCTTCCCCTCCCTACAGTACATGGCCGCGGCTGATTCGTGCAAGGCGCAGCTGGTGAAGGTCTCATCTGCGGGGGTCAAGCCGGTTCAGCTCAAGGCTGCGGACGGTGCGGACGAAGCTTCCGTGGTGGCTGCTGACGTCATATCGCTGCGAGTGGTGCAGGTGCACGGCGTGAATGACGTCATCCTGCCCAAGACTCTGAGCAAGGGCGACGACGACAGCCTCAAGCCCCGCAAATGCACCACCTGGGCCGCTTAGTAGCGCTACCATGCTACCAGCTACTACTAGGTGGTTACCAACTAGGTGACCAGGCTAGGTCGTTACTGGGCTGGATGGTTACTGGGATAGTGGTTGTTACTTACCCGACGCTGGCCAGCTAGTATCTAGGACAACACCAGACCACACACGACCTGGCCAGCTATGATAGAGCTGCGTTGAGAGGTTGTTAATGGTTGAGAGGTTGTTAATGTTCGCCGGTGGTGCCTGCAATGAGACGGTTGTTAATACGATGCTGACTATGCAGGAAGAGCGTGGGTGGTTTGAAATAAGGGCTTTTTTAACTGCACCATGCGTGTCACACGGTGTGTATACAGTTTCAAGTTGCCAGCTTGGAGTTGCGCATTCGGCTTTGGATGTGAAATTGAACACCGTAACTACTAGGATGCAAGTGATCGTTAAAAATAAACTGCAACTTTACTAAAGTTTGCAACGCAAGGCTTACCTGGGCGTAACGCGAGACAGGTCAATGAGTCAATGCTCCTGGAAAACCTGTTTTGATAGGTCGCGAACCTTGGAGGCGTCTCGTAAGGCGCGGGTGATGGAACGCCGCGTCCGAGCCTCGAAAGGCTGCAGTCCGCCCATCCTTACCTGGTTACACCCTCGAGGGTGGGTGTTGGCATAGATGCGGAAGTGGCTCTAGAGTCGAAATACAGCTAATTCGTGATTCGATGACATGCACTGCAGGCTAACTATTTACAAACACGGATGACTTGCAGCAAGGCTGGAGAATAGAAACTGGCGTGACGGGCAAACACACGAAAGAGGAGCTATGGAAACAGGAAGGTTGAGGGGGGGAGGGAAACAGTGGACAGGGAGGAGAAATGCTTGGTTATGGTTCTTTGGGCAATGCTGGTGACTGCTTGCAGCTCGCTGAACTCGCAATTTTGTAGTCGCCTCTCTTTCCCTAGTCCTGCTCAATGCACTCAACCAGGCTTCCGTGCGACCAATTTGTGATCGCGAAGCGCAATTCGCAAATCCGTTCTTTTCCACACATCGCGGTTTGGGCATTTTCGTGGGTTCGTTTGTAAGATGGAGGTAGTGTGAATTCAGGTCTGCGTTTGACAGTGTACACTGTCAGAAGCAGACAAATATATGAACAAACTACCCTGAAAGTTCTACTTACGCATAAACCTGTAGAACCTCGATGGGGAAGCATGAAAAACTGCTAGCAAAATAAAAAATAACTCCTCGTCTGCGTTCATTTTTCCCCTACCCCACTCAGCTGCTTCCCCTCCCCCCCACTCTGCTTGGCCTGAACACTCATGCCCCCCATCAACTCACCACTCCTCTGTGCTTCAATGTGCAACAGGAGCCTACAACAGTATCTACTTTCTCATCCCTCTACTCCTCTTCGCTTTAATATGAGGAGCCTAGCAGAGTGGCTACTTCTTCTCCCCTCCACTCCTCTTCGCCTGAACGCCTATGCCCCCCAGCAGCTCCATCACTCGCTCTGCCACGCCCCCCTGCCCCATCGCGCATTTCGAGAGCACGGGGACGGGAAAGGGGCAGGGAGGAAGGGAGGGACAGGGGGGAGATGGTAAGACATTGTACGAAACTCAGGGGTCGCGCAACGTGAAGGACGAGGTGCAATGCTTCTGAGAAGCAGGCCCTCCCAGATTTCCCTTTGCCACGCACAGCATGCAACCCATGAGTGATCAGTTGGGAATGGTCTGTGTGTGTGTGAACTGCTGCTCTCTGCACACTGGTGGTCATGGCAGCACAGAGAGGAGAAACAGTTTCTTGTGGTGGAGGGCCGGTGATTACTGCGGGTATTGTGGGTTGATGTGGGTTGATGTGGGTTGATGTGGGTTGATGTGGGTTGATGTGGGTTGATGTGGGTTGATGTGGGTTTATGTGGGTTTATGTGGGTTGATGCGGGTTGATGTGGGTTGATGTGGGTTGATGTGGGTTTATGTGGGTTGATGCGGGTTGATGTGGGTTGATGTGGGTTGATGTGGGTTGATGTGGGTTGATGTGGGTTAACGTTGGTGAATGTGGGTTAATGTGGGTTGATGTAGGAAAATGTGGGTTACTGTAGATTTACATGGTTAAATGCCAGTGAATGCGAGTCAGGGGGAAGGCATACGTGCTTCATAGCATGGATTGTGGAAGAGCCATGCGCCATGACACATGCACCATCACACATGCACAATCACACATGCACCATGACACATCCACCATCACATATGCACCATCACACATGCACCATCACACAAGCACCATCACACATCCACCATCGCACATGCACCATCACACATGCACCATCACACATGCACCATCACACATGCACCATCACACATGCACCAGCACACATACATCATCACATTATGAACCAAGCCATGAGCCATAACACATGCATCATGCGCCTGCACCACAAGCCATGAGCCATGCAACATGCACCATGCCATGCGCCATGATACATGTGCAATGCATCACGCAGCAAGCACCATGCACAATGCGATGTTGGGTGGCTCACGGGATGCCTGTGCAGGCAGCGCAGGCATGCAGGCAGTGCATGGATGCATGCACTGGCAGAAATAGGGTCCCAATCTTACTCCACTCCAGTGTGGAAGGGGATTCTAAGTGAGGGTGGTCGCAAGCTCAGTGTGGGTGGCAAACTCAGTTTGGGTGGCAAACTCAGTTTGGGTGGCAAACTCAGTGTGGGTGGCAAATTCAGTTTGGGTGGCAAACTCAGTGTGGGTGGCAAACTCAGTGTGGGTGGCAAACTCAGTGTGGGTGGCAAACTCAGTTTGGGTGGCAAACTCAGTTTGGGTGGCAAACTCAGTGTGGGTGGCAAACTCAGTGTGGGTGGCAAACTCAGTGTGGGTGGCAAACTCAGTGTGGGTGGCAAACTCAGTGTGGGTGGCAAACTCAGTGTGGGTGGCAAACTCAGTTGGGAGGCAAACGGGGGGGTGGGGGGGAGAGGGGGGAGTGGGGAATTGAGCAAAGGAGAGGAGAATGAAGATGTCGGGGGTGAGGGAGATGGGTGCTAAGCAGAGGAGAGTGAAAGGGAGTGTTTGGGGAAGAATATGAGAAGCGGAGAATATGAGACAAGGAGAATATCGAAAGGGGAAGAGGCGATGGAGAGGGCGGGACGGCACACTGCAGAAAGATTTCTTTTCAAAAGAGGAGGCTAAAAGGGTGAGCTGGGGGGTGGAAGGTTTGTGGGGAGCGAAAAAGATATCGATTGGCAGGGTAAAAAGCAAAATGTGATGGCTCATATTGGTCTCCATTCTGCGTCAGCCTGGCATGCCCGCCAGGGACTAACTCTTTGGAAGATAACAGGTTGTGGATCATCCATTCCGTCAGAGAATTCATTTCATCGCCAGCGAGATTCGAACTCTGGCCGTCAACTTGGGATCAGGTCACTTGAAGCTTAGGTTGAAAAGGGATAAGTAAACACCTCGGTCAGAATTACCGTAGTCGAGGTTCTAGCACTGTATCCTGTGAGCACACTGTAATTACTCATAACTCCTCATTTTGCCCACTCTCATTTATCAGTCATACCAGAAGCGCTGAGCTGTGCACCGAGTTTGAGGCAAGAGATAGACCATACCTAGTCTTTCTCTGCAGCTGCGCTGAATATACCTGTAATAGAGTCTACTTCCCCTTCCCCCCACTCCTCTTGGCCTGAACGCCCATCCCCCCCAGCAGCTCCACCACTCGCTCTGCCACGTCCCCCTGCCATCACAGCAGGAGAGCACGGGGACGGGATGGGGGCAGGGAGGAGGGTGGGAGTAGGAAGTGAAGAAGGGAGAGAGGGAGGGAGGGGGAGAGGAAGGGGAGAGTGTCAGCTAGGTGCAAATAAGGGTAGTTTCTACCTCCCCTTCGCCATTCCTCCTGGCCTGAACGATTATCCCTACAAGCAGCTCCACCGCTCGCTCTGCCGCGTCCCCCTGCCACCACAGCATCCGAGGACGGGGACGGGGCGCGAGAGGGGAGGGAGGGGGGGAGGGAGGGAGGGAGGGAGGGAGGGAGGGAGGGAGGGAGGGAGGGAGGGAGGGAGGGAGGGAGGGAGGGAGGGAGGGAGGGAGGGAGGGAGGGAGGGAGGGAGGGAGGGAGGGAGGGAGGGAGGGAGAGGGAAGGGGAGCGGGGGGTGGGGGAGATTGCATGATTTCATCACACCATGCCACCCAGGCCACTCAAGATTGCATCGCACCATGCCACTCAAGATTGCATCGCACCATGCCACCCAGGCCACTCAAGATTGCATCGCACCATGCCACCCAGGCCACTCAAGATTGCATCGCACCATGCCACCCAGGCCACTCAAGATTGCATCGCACCATGCCACCCAGGCCACTCAAGATTGCATCGCACCATGCCACCCAGGCCACTCAAGATTGCATCGCACCATGCCACCCAGGCCACTCAAGATTGCATTGCACCATGCCACCCAGGCCACTCAAGATTGCATCGCACCATGCTACCCAGGCCACTCAAGATTGCATCGCACCATGACACCCAGGCCACTCAAGATTGCATCGCACCATGCCACCCAGGCCACTCAAGATTGCATCGCACCATGCCACCCAGGCCACTCAAGATTGCATCGCACCATGCCACCCAGGCCACTCAAGATTGCATCGCACCATGCCACCCAGGCCACTCAAGATTGCATCGCACCATGCCACTCAAGATTGCATTGCACCATGCCACCCAGGCCACTCAAGATTGCATCGCACCATGCCACCCAGGCCACTCAAGATTGCATCGCACCATGCCACCCAGGCCACTCAAGATTGCATCGCACCATGCCACCCAGGCCACTCAAGATTGCATCGCACCATGCCACCCAGGCCACTCAAGATTGCATCGCACCATGCCACCCAGGCCACTCAAGATTGCATCGCACCATGCCACCCAGGCCACTCAAGATTGCATCGCACCATGCCACCCAGGCCACTCAAGATTGCATCGCACCATGCCACCCAGGCCACTCAAGATTGCATCGCACCATGCCACCCAGGCCACTCAAGATTGCATCGCACCATGCCACCCAGGCCACTCAAGATTGCATCGCACCATGCCACCCAGGCCACTCAAGATTGCATCGCACCATGCCACCCAGGCCACTCAAGATTGCATCGCACCATGCCACTCAGGCCACTCAAGATTGCATTGCACGTCACAGTACGAGATTGCAAGATTGCAGCACTTTAGAGAGTGGACGTGTGCAACCCCCAGACCTAGTCACATGTAACATGTAACACAAACTCACCACTCTCACACCACACTCACACCACTCACTCACCACTCAATAACTCACTCACTCACCTTGATTTTGATACAGTAGAGGAAATCTGAACTAAATGGGAACATGCAGGGTGTGGAGCACGGCAGGGGTGGAAGGGAAAGAGCAGGACACACAAAGAAACTGAGGAAGGGAAGGCAGAGGGGAAGCTCAGCAGCGATAGGGCTGCACTGACAACAAGACACATTGGAAGCAGGGTAAAACACACGAGCGCAAGAGGAACAACGTTGGGGCTCCTTCAACCCACACTGCTTCCCTTTTCTGCTCGTACCCCCCGTGCCACCCCATCCCCTCCTTAATTCCCACAATACCCTCGTCTCTACCTTCTCTCGGTCCCCCCTCCTTTGGAGCGAGCTCTAACCAATTGCAGCTCCTCCACTACGTGTCTCTGCTCTCCTACTCTTACAACTGGTGCAGGGCAGGTTGACTTTTGAGTCGACTCAAAAGTCTGACCAATCGCAGCTCCTCCACTACGTGTCGGTGGAGAATCGCAGCTCTCCTACTCTTACAACTTGTACAGGGCAGGTGCTTAGTGTTGGTGGGAAAGGGAGTGGGAGAGAGGGAGACAGAGGTAAGAGCGCACAGCTGAGTGATGAACGCGACAGCGGAATATACATGACGGTTTTGCACTATGAAACGCTGAGGTGCAGTACCGACACTCAGCTGAGCTTGTCTTTCAGACGCCACACAAGCAGTGCGCTCCCTTGAAGCACCACCACTGCCCTCCCTTGAAACACCAGTGTCGGCTCCAACGCCGTACTGCATGTGGCAGCACCAGCACCGGGCATGGCATCAGTGGCGAGGCGGCTACTCTCATCCACAGCCCAGCCAACTCACTCATGCGCCCTGCCTGCCCTCGTCACCATCCTTGCCCTCCTCAACTTCGTCTTGGAGAGAGGGGGAAGCCAGGGAAGCAGGGTGGGAGAGGGAGGAGGAGAGGAAGGAGATGATGTTTTGCTCTCCAGGTATGGTGCGCCCCACCGCCAGGTGGGAGAGGTATGGGGGAGGGGGGTTTGGAATGGTCGCAGGTAATAGGGTTGAACGCCCCTCCCCGTCACCTCCGTGTCCCCCTCCCTGTAAGGTTGTAAATAGGAGTTCGGTTTCAAAGATGGTATTTCATACGAATATTTAACGAATATTTGCAATTTCGTATTCGGCTGAATAACCCTCTTCTTTCGAATCCGAATACGAATCGAATAGTTTGTTCACGAATACTGTTCGAATACCTGGTTCTGTGACAAATACGAATACGGTTTTTGCTAAACATACTACCTCGGGCCATGGTTCGTAATAGGCCGTAAGCACCGCCTGGTGGAAGGGAAATGGGGGGGAGGGGAGGAGGAGGTAAGAAGGGGTTGGAGGAGAGGAGGTGAGAGAGAATAGAGTGAGCCTTCCCATCACCCCCGTGCCCCGTCTGCTCTCCTGGAATGCTGTGCCCCAACACCTGATGGAAGGGGGATGAAGAACTAAGAGCTTATCTTGCTGAAAATCACGCAGCGTGTGTAAACATACAAGCATTCCCTCTCTTCCTCACACTCTCCCATTCCCCCCCTTCCCAAATTTGGCATATTCGGTTGACAAACTCACCCTGAATGTAGGCAATTCCTGATGATACATGGTAGGGGAGAGGGGGGGAGAGGAGAGGAGAAGGGAAGCGCCCATCTGATAGGGAGCAGACAGATTAGAACGGGGGGGATGAAGGTGGGAGAGGGCAGGGAGATGAGAAAATGTGGGAGAGAAGTTGGGTCGGAGGGAGGAGGGGGAGAGAATGGAGGGAGGGAGGAGAAGGGAGAAGGCAGAGGTACGAAGGGATGAGAGACAGCAAGTGCGCGTCAGGTGAAGGGCGAACCCTGGCATGCATGTGTGCCATGCCATCGAAGTAGTTCAATGTGTCTCATCCACCCCACATACCCCATAACATCCCCTGCCCCCCACAGCGCCCCCGCAGCCCCCTCCTGGCGTGCACAACGCACCTTCACGAGCCCTTTTAGCGAGTCAGCGACATTGGCAACCAGGAGGAGCGAACGAACTGCATGCAGTAGGAGGTACTCCCTACTTCCTCGTCAGTGTGTGTTTCGACGCAACTGGCTCGCACTTCACCAGTGGTGTAACTCCACCTGGTGGGGAGGGGAGTAGGAAGTATAGGTGGAAGGAACGGGAGGAAAGAGTGCGGTAAACGCGGTTAGGGGAAAATATTATGGCGATTGGAATGGAAATGGCGATAACGTTAGCGCGAGACAGCGGTGATGCAGGGCGGAACTGGTGGAGCTCTTTCCAGTCGCTCTGGACAAGTAACGAACGGACTCCTGGCGCGCACGACGCAGGATGGACCTCGTGGAGAAGCGCGACTCGCTGAGGGTGGGGCGCAAGGCGCACGAGACGAAGAGCAGGGGGGAGAGGGAGACGGCGGGCAGGCGGAAGGGCAGGGGGGATGAGAAACGAGAGGCGAATACAGAGGTAAAAAGGCACGGGGAAGAGAAAACGAGACCGAATACGAAACGCAAGGAGAAGGGGAAAGCGAGAGGAGAATACAGAGCAGAAGGGGAGGGGGAAAACGGGAGCGGAGGGCAGGGATGAAGAAGAGGCGGAAAAAACAGGGAAAAAACGAGGAAAAAAATCAAGCACACGGAAAGGCGCGCACGGAGCATTGCAGGAAGAAAATCGAGGGGAAGGCAGGCAGGGGGAAAGCGGCGGAGGGGCGAACTGAGGATAAGGAAGGTGCACACGGAGCATCCAGGGGAAAAAACGACGGGTAAAGCGAGGCCAAAGAGATGGGGTTGGCGGGTGTACGGGGAGAACGGATTTCACGGGGATGAAGTTGGACGGTTGAAATGTAGGTTTTCGTTGATAGACGAATAAAATACTAAAAGTACGGTACGGACGGAGTGGCGGAAGCAGGGTTGCGTGGAAGCAGCTCCTTGAATATAGCAGAGCGTGAATCGAGGGGGCTAACTAACGACTTGCGCAGATTGGTAGCTAGCAATAGTGACGCAAGTGTGAGCGACGAAGCGCTAAGTGGCTTGGGTGCATCGTGCGCTCCTAGCGTACCAGAGTGGACCAGGCTCTCTACTGTGTCCCATCCCCCCCTACTGTGTATTCCACCCACCCGTTCAACTCTTGATCCAACGGCTCAAATTCCAACCCTTCAACATTTTACCGGATTGGTTGTGGTGATGCTGATGACGCAAGTTCATCTTTTCTTTTCCCGTAGCCGTCAGATATGGCATGGATGAGCGATCGATGGTGTGTGTTGCTCGACACATTCAGATTCGAGCGCGTTAATCATCCATCCATACATGAACACGTGGGCAGACTCTTTTAGTCTCCACTCAGGGGGAAGGCACAGCAGAAGCGGGAGGAGAAATGGGAGGAAACACAATGTTTGACATTCTTAGATATGAATGTGTTAGTGGTACAGTGCAATTGTTGTCTACGAGGTATATCGAACACAATTGAATGTAATGCAAATTTGACCGTGTCGGGTCTTGAATTTCGTTCCCTTCCAATACCTTCCTCCCTGGTTTCTATAAGTAGTTGGCAACATCTTTCAGGATGTCCTGAAACATTTGGTCGTTCTACTGTGCGGTATCTTCCTTATCTCACCAATCCTTCACATTCTCTCTTAGCCATGGTGTTTGTCGATAACAATCGGGATGCTGATGCGCCTGTTTCTGAGCTCAAGAAGAAGACCGCGAATGTAGGCTATGCAACTGTTGTATGTCTGTTTGAAGTTTCCATGAATTCTAACCATGCGTAATATTTCACAGGACACGATTTCACTGCGCTTGGAGTTTCTAAGCCCAGAAAGCAAACCTCAGGATGCAGGAGAACCTGAGGTACGCATACAAAAGTCGTATAATTTTTCTTCTTCATTCCAACGAGTAATCCTTTTTTGCAATGTTAGGGTTCACGTTCAAGAAAGCGCCGCCGTACTGTTAATGATACAACGAATGCTTGGCTTATAAAGAGAGCTAATACGCCGGAAAACCCAACACTAAAAGAGACATTTGTAAAATATCCGTCAACCTTGCGCAACAGTGGTGCTCGTTCAAGCAGTGCTGCTGATGCTGGTTGTGGTGGTACACGTACTCGTGCTCGTACTCGTTATTCTGTTGCTGGTACTCGTACTCGTGCACGCAAAGCTGCAGCTGCTGAAGCTGCCAAACGCGCTGCCACTGATCTTGGCGTGGCCGTTAAAGCTGCAAAACGTGCTGCCAATGATCTTCTTCTGGCCGCTAAAGCTGCTGACGCTGCTATTGCAGCTCTTGGTGGTGGTAACTAATGCCTTTTTCCTGTTTGTGTGTTTTCTTTAGTTATTATTGTATATTGGATTCTGCTGACATCGATTATGACTCGCATTTTCAAAGGGGTTTCAAACTTTTCAGTGTACTTCACATTAAACTGAGTAGTAGTGGACCCTGCTATTGTAGTGAGGAGGCAACTGGAAGAGACATAGGAAGCCAGACCAGAGTTTTCTTAGCACTGACAGTTTCTTGCTACTTCCACCTTCCAAGCTCCAGTCCGTCCTGCTAGCGGCTGAGTCCTTCAGTCGTTGTATTGCTGTTTTGAAAATATTTTTAGGCCTCGTTCTCATCTGGCAGAAAATATTCTTGCCAGTGTGCAGAAAAGTTTCTTGCCAGCGCCACAGAGATTTTTCTTGCAAGCGCCACACAAATTCAACAAACCCCAACGAAACCTTCCTGCATTCCCCACTGTCAACTCAAATTCTAGGTTTGTCTCGTCTTCGTTTCTTGAATTTGAACACCTGATCTACTCTGCTCTCTCTGCCCTTTTCTCCCCAACCTAACCATCGCCCATCCTGCCGTCGTCACTCCCACCCAGCTATTGCGTTCTACCCTAGTAACACCTTGCCATCGTCACCTCTCACTCCCACTTTGCCGTCGCCTCTCCCTCACTCCCCACCGTCGCCTCTCTCTCACTCCCCACCGTCGCCTCTCCCTCACTCCCCACCGTATCCTCTCCCTCCAACCCGCCGTCGCCTTTCTTTCACACCCCGCCGCCGCCACCCCCACCGTCGCTCCTCCCCGTAAGGCGCAGGCGCCGTTGGGCACTGCCGCGTAAGGCGCAGGCGAGATTGGGCACTGGCGCCTTTCACGCTGGCGCCGTTGCGAGCGGGCGCTTCGAGCGCAGGCGCAGCTGGGCGCTGCCGTGTTGGGCGCAGGCGCCGTTAGGCGCTGGCTGGCGCCATTGGGCGTTGGCAAATGCATACTCCCCCTCCACCCACTCTGCTTTTCCCCTTAATCGCTTCTGCATAACAGCTTGAACACGAATCTAGAAAAATGTATACTTCTCCTTCCCACCGCTCCTCTTGGCCTGCACGCCCATGCCCTCCAGCAGCTCCACCACTCGATCTGCCACTCCCCCCTGCCAGCACAGCAGGAGAGCACGGGGAAAGAATGGGTGGCAGGGAGGGGAGGGAGGGAGGGAAGGAGGAGGGCGGTGGAGGGGGATCTGGGCGGAGAAGAGGGAGGGGTAAAGGGGGAAAGGAAAGGAAGGATTCTAAGGAACTCGGTGGTTGTAGATAGGAGGGGTTTCTTCCAAACGTGTGCTCTCAAGCATAAGTCCTTTCCTCCCACGCAGCATTCGCTTCGTCACTCTGCCTGCAACCCACACGTAGACAGTGCGCCATGCGCCCTACCCGCCATGTGAGCGCATTGGTGATTGTTACGAGCATAGAAAGCAAAACAGCTTCTTGAGGGCCATGAGGGTCAAGTCAACACGGGTAACTGCAAGCTACTGCAGGTTGTTGTGGGTCGGTGTGAGCCAATACGGATAACTGCTTGTTACTGCAGGTCAATGTGGGTCAATCTTGGTTCAGTGCGAGAAAAATCAGAGGCACTGCAGGTCAATGTGGGTCAATCTTGGTTCAATGCGAGAAAAATCAGAGGTACTGCATGTCAATGTGGGTCAATCCTGGTTCAATGCGAGAAAAATCAGAGGTACTGCATGTCAATGTGGGTCAACAAGGGTCACGGCGGCAAGGAGGTAATATACATGTGATTGAATCATCAAGAGAGGAGGCGAGGGCAGGTATTGCAGATGAGGCATGAGTCATGAGGCATGACGCATGATGCATGAGGCATGCATGAGCATGAGCCATGAGCCATGCATGCTGCAAATGCCCAATGCACCATGCAACATGCAACACACACCATGCACCATTCACCATGCACCATGCATGCACCATCACCATGCACCATGCGCGGCGACCCATGCACCATGCACCATGCACCATATGCCATGCACCATGCACCATGACCCATGCACCATGCACCATGCACCATGCACCATACGCCATGCACCATGCACCATCACCATACACCATACACCATGCACCATGCACCATCACCATGCACCATGCACCATACGCCATGCACCATACGCCATGCACCATCACCATGCACCATGCACCACGCACCATGCACCACGACCCATGTGACGATTGCTCAAGGATGGCTGTGGAGGCAGTGGATGGATGCAAGAACCAGAGAGAGGAGGGCAACGAAGAGGAGAGCGAGGGAGAGGAGTGAGGGAGAGGGGAGTGGGATAGTTATTGGGAGGCTATAGTGGGGATGGGAAGATTAGTGGTAGGCAGTGTAAGGAAAACTGTGTGAGACGCGATGCTCATGACAGGTGAGGATGAGGGCGAGAGAGCACATAGCACAAGAATCTCCTCGCAAAGAGGGGCATACGGTAGCGCGAGCTCGAAATGGAAGTATGGGTAAACAAATGATCATGGCAGGGTAACTGTGCAAAAGGTGTTGGCTCATTCTGGTCTCCGTTCCTCGTTAGCCTGACATGCCCGCCAGGGACTAACTCTTCGGTGGATAACGGGTTGTGGATCATCCACTCCGTCGGAGTATACATTTCATCGCCAGCGAGATTCGAACTCTGCCGTCAACTTCGGAACAGGTCGCGTGAATCAAAGTCTGAAAATGACCTAGTCGGAATTCCGAACTTGTGATAGCACGATGTTTGACTTGTATGGCTAGGACAAGGAAGAGCATCACCTCAGGATTATCCTAGTCGAGGTTCTTGCACATCTCCTGTAGCCACACTCTGATAAATCTCATAACTCCTCATTATGCCCACTCTTGTTCACCAGTCATACCAGAAGCGTTGAGCTGTGCCCTGTGTCAGAGGCCCCATTCGCTCGCTGTGGCTGCCCTGAATATACCTGGAAGTGTGTTTACTTCCCCTTCCCCCCACTCCTCTTGGCCTGAATGCCCATCCCTCCCAGCAGCTCCACCACTCGCTCTGCCACGTCCCCCTGCCACCACAGCAGCGAGCACATGGGAGGGATGGGGGCAGGGACGGGAGAGAGGTAGCAAGAAAAGGGGGGGTGGGAGGTAAAGCGATTGTAGGGAGCTTAGGGATTGTAGCTAGGAGTTTTGTCCAAATGTGCGCTTCTGAGCAGAAGTCCTCCCACCCAGCACTTCCTTTGCCACTTAGCCTGCACCCAACACGTACTCACTCTCTAGTGCGCTGCGTGCTCTGCTGCCCTGTGTGTGCGCATTGGTGGTCGTTACGAACACAGTCTCGGTACAACAACTCTTTGATGGAAATCCGGGTCAGTGTGAGTCAATTCTGGTAGCTGCTTGATATTGCAGGTCAATGGAGGTCAATGGAGGTCAATGCTGGTCACCACAGGAAGGAGGGAACATCCATGTGAACGATTTATCAAGGGGGCGAGGGCAGGAATTGCTGACGAGCCTTGAAAGCATGAGGCATGAGACATGAGCAATATGCCATGTGGCGAGCCATACTCCATGCAGCATGCCCCATGACCCATGCACCACGCCCCATGACCCATGCACCACGCCCCATGACCCATGCACCACGCCCCATGACCCATGCACCACGCCCCATGCACCATGCCCCATGACCCATGCACCATGCGCCATGACCCATGCGCCATGACCCATGCGACGATCGGGTGACGCAGAGGAAGCCTGTGGAGGCAGTGGAGTGAGGATGCATGCATGAATGCACCTGCAGAAGCCTATGGTTCCATTCATACTCCAGTTCAGTGTGGGGGATGCAAGAAGAGGGGCGGGAGGTCAGTGTGGGGGGGGAGGTCAGTGTGGGGGGGAGAGGTCAGTTGGGGGGGGAGGTCAGTGTGGGGGGGGAGGTCAGTTGGGGGGGGGAGGTCAGTGTGGGGGGGGGGAGGTCAGTTGGGTGGGGGGGAAGGTCAGTGTGGGGGAGCTCAGGAGGGGGAAGAGTGGTAGTGACGAAGAGGGAGAGGAGAGGGGAGTTAAGACGAGAAGAGTTTGGGAGAGCCGATAGTGGGGATGGGAAGATGGGTGGAAGGCATTAAAGGGAAGGGTGAGAAAGGGAGGAGGCGATGGTGCTTACAGGTGAGGATGAGGGTGAGACTACACTATACAAAAAAAATCTCCGTACAAAGCGGAGCATAGGCGGAGTGGGGGTCGCGAGTATGGGTCAAGGATAATGAATGGCAGGGTAGAGAAGCAAAAAATTGGTGGCTCATATCGGTCTCCGTTCCTCATCAGCCTGACATGCCCGCCAGGGACTAACTCTTCGGTGGATAACGGGTTGTGGATCATCCACTCCGTCGGAGAATTCATTTCATCGCCAGCGAGATTCGAACTCTGACCGTCAACTCATGATCGGGTCACGATAAACTTCTGCTGAAAATACTAGAGTCGTTTTCCCGACCACACCACCACACAGGTGAGCAAGGCAGGTAAGGGGGTGTCTAAGAACCATCAACGGTTTTTGTGTTGTTCAAGGAAACTCCTAGCTCTAGTGACACAACATAGACAAGACAATAATAAAAAGGACTTCTCACAAGGCAGTAGTGGGTACTCAAACTTTCTTGGACTCTAACTCACGGTTCTCACCTTAAAATTATCGTAAAGTTCTAGGTTCTTGCGCTGCATCCTGCTAGCACACTCTGATTACTCTCAGAAGTCCTTTATTTGCCCACTCTTTTACCAGTAGCGTTGTGCAGTGCACGGTGCGAGGAACAAGAGAGGTCGCAAACTGTTGCTCTCTATTGCTGCCCTGAACGGCGACACCATATTCCCTTCATCACTCACTCCCTCACTCCCCCTTCACTCCCTCCCTCACCTGCAATTCGATGCATCCGTCTTTCACGGCGCCGCCACTCCCGAGCGCCACTTTCAGCTTCTTCAGCAGAGCTGCCACCTCAGCATCGCCGCCGGCCAATCGCAGCCCCTCCACCACCGTCACCGTCTTCCCGCCACGTCCGCGGCGCGTCGCCTGCACCGTTACTCCGCCGCCCTTCGCAGAAGCCCCGGTCTTTCCTCCTTGCTGGCTTCCACTTTTTCCGGAAGGTGCGCTTCGTCTCGGCTCGGCGCGCTTCCTTCCGCCACCCGCGGTTCGTGATTCCCTGTCTGTTCTTCCGCTGGAATCACTTTTGCGAATAATCACAAAATCGTCGGCGTTCCCAGTAGTCCGCACCGAGCCGCCAATATCTGAATCGCTATCATCGCGACCGTCCAATGGTTCTGCCGCACTGCTGCCAAGGGGAAAGCTTCGCTTCAGGTCGGCAAAAGGGTTTCCGCTTTGCGAGGTTGACGTACTTTGCGACGGACGACCGGCAAATGCGGTAATCACAAGGTAGCTCGAAGATGTGATTGAGGAGGGCAAAGCGTTTGACGGCGAAACTGCCGGACGGTGGCTGGCAAGCTCTCCGCAAATGACGGAAGAAGCAATGAAGCTGGAGGATAGTGAAAGTGAAGCCATAATTGTGAATCTGCTCCGGCAGACAGAATATGTTGGTCAAGCATTGTACGCTTTAGTAGACTGGGTGCTTTAGCTGCTTGGATTCATGTTCCGCGTGCATTCTCGCTCTGAATCACAATATGAACATTTTTTTTTCCTCGTAGACTTGACAGGCTTGTTGCAGGCAATCTGGTGGTGGACAATTGCCAGTTTGCTGTCCACGTCTTGTTGCTTTTGATACACGTCCCCATCGGATTCGATCACCGTCTGTTTGCATCTTCACCTCGCCGAGACCTTTCGATCCAGGTGACATGGCAGCCCAGTCAGCTTCTCACCTGGGCTGCCACGCAATCACGAGCACGTGGATCACGGATGTTCCAGATGTTTCGGTGCCTTGCCTGTAACGAGGGTTGACACACGACGACGAGTAGTAGAACGCCATTTCAGAAGCAGCAAGAGTAGCTTCACCCACTTTCACAATCGCACGTGCCGCGGCATACGAAAGGGAACACCTAGTACTGAAAGCACCGTAGCGTAACGCGTGGAAAGGTACCAATTATTTATGCGCAACACGTCTCACCGTACTCAACCGTAAGCTCACAAAGTTTGTTCTGTTGTTGCTTGCCTGAACAACCAACCAACGGTAAAGAGGAGCTGAGTTATGTCGTGTCGTCTCATACCAAGAGCCTCTTATTATTTTCTTGGCATACCTGTTTGTATTAGACTACCTGTTCTCCAATTTACTTCTTTTTGCCATTTCATATTTCAGTTCGGACTAGTCTGCATCGCCATTGTTGATCTAGACCGTGAGAAGTTGTACCGGAAGGACAGGGGCCATGGACACGCTTCGTGTTTCCACGCCGACGGCATTGTCGTCCCTAGTGTTATCCCCGTTACGAGCGCCTTCGTTAGTGTCACCGAATCCCGGCGCAGTTTCGGGTTTTCCCCAGCGCCTCTGCGTCTCTGCTGCCATCCACCATTCAGACAGCAACAGAGCTCCTTTCTCCGAAGCTTCCGCGCTGTCGCACCGGCACGCCTCGTCCCCGCTCTCCGTCCCGCTCCCCCCTCGCACCATCTGTCAAGCGGCGAAAAGACCAATCACCAGACGCCACGTGGCGACGAAAGACGCAGTGGACGGAGGCTCCGCCAGCGACGGCGGCGGCGGCGGGAGCGGGGAGGAGAGCGATGAGGACGAGGAGGTGGCGACGCTGGTGCGAGGGATGACTTTCGCGGAACTGTGCGACGACTTCGAATGCGTGAGCAGCCCCGCCGTTGAGCGAACGGCGAAACAGCTGGCGAGAGACATTCACGACATGCGCGAAGACAAGAGGACGCTGTCGTGCTTCGCCATCGATTCAAAATACTCGGTAAGGCGAATGTGAGACGCGTTTCAAACGAGCGTACAGCGAGCGTGTTAAACGTCATACTGACGAGGGGGGACCCCGCGAGCATATCGAATCATCAACAACGTCGGTTTCTGGCCAATCAGAAAGCTTTCGGGATAAGCCTCGGCCACACACGTTGCCTGTCAGCATCGCCGGTTTTGCCGGTCTTAATATAACCCGCTCCACTCATCACTCCTCTCAGCTTTCTATTCCCCAACTCCCTGGCGCGCTTTCAGACTTGTCCAATCACTCACGTGTACGACTCCTTGATTATGAGTCCTTTGAGTCGACTCAAAAGTCAGCTTGATTCTGACGTTCCTCCCATCTGAGCTGCACTCGCCATCTGTTCCCGACGTTCCTCCCCTAGGACTCAATCCGGTCCTTCACGGGTCGCGACAAATACCGCCGCCTTTCGTGGATCCGCAGCGCGCTTCAGAACTCCTCAGTGGTGAGCATAGAAGGCCTGGCAGCAGCGCGCTTTGTATTCTCATCACTTGTTCCTTACATAGTGATTCTATTCCGACTGATGCGCTGCTGCCGTGTGGCATGATGGCCAAGAACAACCTAATCACCTAATTACCTACTCACCTACTCACCTAGTCTTGTGGCTTAATCTCTTGTTGTTTGGGACGTCCCAAAATACGGGAATAACAACCAGGCCAGGGGTCTCTTACGGTAGTTTACCTCTTAAGCTCGTTCATTGCGGTACGTGACGTCAAAACTGAATATGACTCGTCCATCCCCTCGTCTTCTCACCTTCGTCCCGCTTTTTTACACTCTTGAAACAGAGTCGCCTTGGATGAGTCATCATCGCTCTCCTCCCCCACTCCCCCCTCTTCCCCGCCCCCGCCCACCCCCCACCCCCCTCCTTCCCTCCCCCCCCGTTTTGCGCACACCCGGCCGGTCTCCCCCGCTCTCCACCCACCCGCCCCCTCCCCCCCACCCCGCTCCTGAGCGCAGCACATGCTGGGAATGTCGATGGAGTCAACGAGCGTCCTCGTGATCACGTGGCAGCTGCGCGGGTACCTCGTCATTCCGGGTGGCTTACTGGACGCGCGCGTGACGTCAACGTTCACGCTGAACCAGATCAGCGGCCAGGTCATCAACCACCGCGACCAATGGGACGTCGCCAGCTCAGCGCTGCCCATCCAGCTGGCGTTCTGGGCGTCGCGGCTCGCGTGGTCCACATCAGAGGCGATTAAAGACGTAACGGAGAAGTCCGGGGAGGGGAGCAAGAGCGGAGGCGGGGACTCGAATTATATTTATCCGCACCCGTCCGGCGACCCTAGACGAGTAGGTTACGGGGCGTGCTAATGCGCGTGTATAGTAGTGCGGGGCGTACATGTGGTGGTGGTGTGTATGCGTGCCTGTGGTGGTCTGTGCGTGCTTGCATGTGTGGCTGTGTGGGATGAGAAGGTGCGAGGGCGAGGGAGGGTTTGAGATGCACCAATAGCTGTTGGCCCGGGTGAGGGAGGAGGGGGAGGGAGTGATGGGAGAGTCGGGGGGAAGGGATACGGGGAGTTGAGGAGGAATGGGGAAAGCAACATGCTATAGGCATCCACATCCCGGATCCCTGTCTTTCTTACGTAACCAGGGAGTCAGACTGTTCTGAGATTTCTCAGAATTTAACCACACAAACATCCACCAAGCAACAGCGGTTGTGCCTCACTGGCATCCCATTATCCCATCATGCCATCATGCCATCCCATTATCCCATCATGCCATCATGCCACCCCATTATCCCATCATGCCATCCCATTATGCCATCATGCCATCCCATTATCCCATTATGCCATCATGCCATCCCATTATCCCATCATGCCATCATGCCATCATGCCATCATGCCATCCCATTATCCCATCATGCCATCATGCCATCCCATTATCCCATCATGCCATCATGCCATCCCATTATCCCATCATCCCATCCCATTGTCCCATCATCCCATCATCTCATCATCCCATCCCATTATCCCATCATCCCATCATCCCATCCCATTATCCCATTCCATTATCCCATCATCTCATCATCCCATTATCCCTTCATCTTATCCCATTATCCCATCATCCCATCATCCCATTATCCCATCCCATTATCCCATCATCCCATCATCCCATCATCCCATTATCCCTTCATCTTATCCCATTATCCCATTATCCCATCATCCCATCATCCCATCATCCCATCTTCCCATGATCCCACCCATTATCCCATTATCCCATCATCCCATTATCCCATCATCCCATCATCCCATCATCCCATCATGCCATCATGCCATCATGCTACATGCCATCATGCCATCATCCCATCATGCCATCATGCTCCATGCCATCATGCCATCATGCCATCACCCCATCACCCCCATCCAATCCAACCACCTCTGCCATTTCCATTAGCCTCACCGAACCCCCCTCGCCGCACCATCCCCTCGCCCCACCATCCCCTCCACCCCACCCCATCATCGCCCTCGTACCATGCCGGTTCTGCTTTTGAGACCTCTCAACTCTCAAAACCACGTCAGCATGCTGTTCTGGTAGCGTCTCACAACTTGCACCAGTCGCCGCATTCATCTTACTCCTGTTCCTGCCATCCCAACCATCGTAGCTTAGCTTCTCTCGCCATCCTCACTGCCCCCATTGCACTGCACCTCATGGCCCCCCATCGTAGCGACGAGGTGTCGCCCCCATTGCAGTGCACCTCATGCTTGCCTTGCTTCTTCCGAACCACTCCCACCACCTCCTCTGCAGTTCATCTAACAGAGCGGCCCCATCAGGACTTTTACCAGGCAGCCTTGTTCATCTGCACCGCGCGCCTCTTTCAACTCCTCTTATCCCCCTATCACTCCCCCTATCACGCCCATCAACCCCTCGACCCTCTCTGCATTTCATCCAGGGCGACCCCAACAAGGACCTGTACCAGGCAGCCTTCTTCATCTGTGCCTTTCCCCTTATCCACTCCTGTTACCCCCCCCTCCCCTTCGCCCTCCATCGCAGTTCATCCAGCAGGGCGACCCCAACAAGGACCTGTACCAGGCGGCCTTCTTCATCGCTCTGCTCTACCTCGTGGTGCAGGCCGTGCAGCTCATCATCTGATCTGATCTGATGTGATCTGATGTGCCTCCTCCTTGCACATTCCGGAGAGGAAGGTCTGGGAGAAGGGACTTGAGTTTACGCTCACGAACGGCGCATTGGTTTTTGAAAGAGATAATGGATGGTGGTGAATGCTGATCAGTGGGTAGTGAGCCTGGTTGCAACATGCAACATGGATATCCCCATCAAAGTCGGCCTCGATTGAAGTGCATTGGGACTTGCCACCTACAGAAGACTTGATGGCAAGCTGACGGCAAAGGCTCCAGCAAGTGTGTTCTTGGTAACTTGGTCTCCGTTATTATACCGCTGGCTGGAAGGTTGTGGAATTGAGACTTTTTTGTGTGTGCATGTGTGTACATTTCTGTGTTTGGGTTGCTTGCTTGACTTGGTACCTTGTTGTGAGTGAAATACTTCTCTTCACCGTATGTGACGCTCTTGCGCCAAGTGATTATACGGTATCTGCACTGCAGCTGTCTACGAAGGAGCTTTCACCTGCTTTCACAGCATTGAACGACTAGAAGAATAGGAAGCAAATGGATAATATCGTACATTACATCATACACGTTCCAGTTCCATGATGAGCATAGTTGGGTGTACTGTAATCAAAGCACCATTTTTGGAAATCACCAACATTCATGTCGCGCTGGTTTCTTATGTCTAGCTGTACTGGTGAACGAGGTTAGTAAATACCTCCCACGTAAGCGCACAGGAATACGTTTAGTTCCTCAAACCTAAAAACACGTGCGACATTATCATCCCTTGGGTGCCATGCGAGCGTACGTGGCTTCTTGGAAGTTCTCGCTAACATACACCTCCACAAACCCGTTTCGCTGCAGCGCGCGCAAGCACGCGCCCTTTCGCGCTTTCGCATCCGTCACCATGCGATCGTGAAACTCAATCAAGATCTGACCGAACGGCAGCGGCGTTTTCATGCGAAGCCACGCGTCGCACACGTCGAACTCCACCCCCTCCACGTCCATTTTCAACACATCCACGAATCCGTGCCCGTTCCCGCACATAAACGTTGGCAATCGCAGCACCGGCGCCGGCATCCCCTGGCTTTCGAACCGGCCGGCAAGTTTTTCTGGTTTGACGGCCGTCATGGACTGCACGCGCGGGTTCTTGGAGTGGAAGAAGGTGACGATGCCGTCCGTGCCGGCCAGGCCGAGTTGACGGAACTGGAAGGCGGCCGGCTGATCGCGACTGTGGTGGTCCTTGAACATGGCTTGCACGCGCTCGGGGGGAACTGTGGGGTCGAATCCGAACACCTGCAGAACATTTTGGGGAGAGAATTGGAAGAGAGAGACATGGAGTGCGAATGGAATTGGAACAGGCCGGTTTTTGAGTCGACTCAAAAACCGACTCATCACACATGTAGTGCGAATGGAATTGGAACATGGCCTGTAAACCCCAGCTTTTCTCGATTGTCGTGGTCCTTGAAGATGGCTTGCACGCGCTCCGGGGAACTGTGGGGTTGAATCCGAACACCTGGGAGAGAGACGGGGGAGAGAACGAGAAGAGAGGGACGCAGGAAGAGAGGCTGGTGTGAGAAGGGAAAAATAAGGGGGTGGAGTTTTGGTGGTCCCTCAACATGGCTTGCACATGCGCTCCTACAGGACTGGGGACGAATTCGAATTCCTCAAGAAGAGTGGGAGGAAGGACGAGAAATAAGAGAGACGGTGTGAGAATGGGATTGGAAGGCGTAGTGCCAATCCTGGCGGCGTGCTGTGGCGGTCGGCCTTTGAACGTGGCTGACACGTGCGCGGAAATTGTGGGGTCGAATCCGAAGACCTGGAGGAGAGATGGGGGAGAGCATGAGAAGAACGAGAGATGGTATGAGAAGGGCAAAGTAGCCAGAGTTCGACTTCCATGGGACGGCAGCGTGCAACTTGTACCTTTGAGTCGGCTCAAACGCATCTTCTACCTGTCCTGTGGTGGTACCTGTCCTGTGGTGGTACCTGTCCTGTGGTGGTACCTGTCCTGTGGTGGTACCTGTCCTGTGGTGGTACCTGTCCTGTGGTGGTACCTGTCCTCTGGTAGTACCTGTCCTCTGGTGGTCGCGTTGCCTGAACATGGCTTACACGCGCTCAGAGGACACACAGTGGGGTCGAAATCCAATCCAATACCGAGAGGAGGAGAGAGGGAGAGACATAGAGATGGTGTGACTATCATGGCTGCGGTGGTGGTCCCTGCGAGAACAGTGCTCCAACATGACGGAGAGATGAGGACAGAGGTGAGGGGGAGGAGCGAGGGGAAGAGAGAGGGGGGGGAGAGGAGAGGGGAGCAACAAGGCAGGTGTGGATTGAGGGACGACATCAGGTGCAGTAACAGTGGCAACGGCTGTTGCCTTGCCACAGAACACGCGACGCATATGCACGTGCTCCCGTGGCTTCTTTTGCAGGCGAGGGCTTGAAGGAAGGGGAGGTGGAGACGTGAGAGGAGGGAGAGAGGGACGGGGGACTGCAGCAGCAATAACGGCAAATGCAAAGTTGGAAACTGGAAAGGACAATGAAAGAAAGGAAATCGGGCTTGGCTGCCAAACATAGGACCATAACTTGTTCGGGATAGAATCAGACAAGGTGGGGGTGAAATAGACGGCAGACTCGAAAACAATGACGTATAAGGTGGGAACAAGAGGCGAGAGAACCTAATATGCCATACTGTGCCATGCGATGCCATGCCATGCTATGCCATGCCATGCCATGCCATGCCATGCCATGCCATGCCATGCCATGCCATGCCTGCTACCCCTCCTTCATCGTGCCACTCGCTCACTCACCCCCCATCCGCACAGTTTACAGAATGGAAAGACCTGCAGCGAGTGCTGCTCTCCGCCATGCCATGCCAATCACGTGGTGCATGTGGCTAGTACCAACCACGTGGTGCATGTGGCTAGTACCAACCACGTGGTGCATGTGGCTAGTACCAACCAAACAACCTCGACCATCAAAAGCAGGAGATAAAGCTTGAAGCGGCTCCAATGTACGTGCAGCACAGGCCACGAAAACACATACCTTACGAGCTACGAGACAAGCACATACCTTACGCCCCACGCTCCCCCCACTTTACATTCCGTAAAACACAATAGATAAGGGACAAGCTATGAGAAAAGCATGCACCTTATGCCCGCGGTTGACCATCCCGTTGTCAAAGGACACGTCAGCGCCGATGCCAAACGAGTACACGACGCCACCTGGCCGCACGTGATTGGTGCAGAGGCTCCACGCACCGTAGTCGTCCCCCCCTCGGCCCCCCACCTTCTCCAGCTTGCACGTGTCGTGCCGCACGAGATGCAGCTGAGACTCGTCCACTCTGGTAGGAGGACATGGGCATTAGGAGGACATGGGCGGACGTATGGCATATGCCTGCTTTGACTGAAATCTTTGGAGACGATTCTGTACTTCAATTTGGTGGTGGAAGATGTTGAACGAGAATGGTGAGTAATGCTAACCCATCCTTCACCGCTGCTCCAGCTTCCATGTCTCGTGCCGCACCAGATGCAGCTGAGACTCGTCCACTCTGTTAGGAGGACGTGAGCAGGACAACAGAAGGTGTTGCGGTTTTACCATCCTACGCCGCTTCTCCAGCTTGCATGGTCATGGCGCACCAGATGCCGCTGAGACGCATTCATCCACACTGCTCAAGGGAGCGGTACGGATGAGAACAAGAGGTTCCGGGTTTCCAATATTGCAAAGCATGTCAAGCAAGCTTGCATGCCTCGTGCCGCACCAGATGCAGCTGTGTGACTCATCCATCCTGCCAGGAGCATCCGGAAAGGTGGATATGGCAGTGGGAATGGAAACAAAAGCTTTCGGGTTTTGGGGTGCTGCTGCAAGGAAGGTATGTGAGGGGCACTCATCCAGCTGGTGTGTTGAGAATTAAGCTGAACCAGGATCAAGTTTCATCAAGGAGTTGCTGACCCATCAAGGGGCAGCTTGAGAATTAAGCTGAACCAGGTGGCAGGTGCGGCCTCAGACTCATCTATGTGGTAGTAAAGGGACGGGGAAGGGAGGGGGAGCAGTGAAGGGTGTTGTTCGTAATGGGATATTCTAATATTAATTTAACACTCACTCATACGGTTCATGTGAGCCACCATGATGTGAGAAACGTGGCTAGAGTGATGAAGCAAGGAACAGCATAGGGGGGCGGCATGGATAAGACAAGACAGCAGCTCGCGCAGGATTCAGAATTCCCTGCTGCGTGTGCCTGCAACCTCTGTACTTCACAACAAGGGAGTCGTGATGTGGACAAGTGTCGGGGAAAGAGGCTCGAAAGTGAAACTCTGGTGGGGGTTGGGGGCACGCGTAAAAAGTGATTTTATTAGACGTCTCAAAAAAATCACTTTTTACACAAGGGAGTCGTGATGTGGAACAAGTGCAGGGGAAAGAGGCTCGAAAGTGAAACTCCCCTGGGGGTAGGGGGCAGCTGCAGGCCTCTTTGACTCGAGTCAACGGGAGTGAGACCCCTTGACGTGAAGCGAGTCAAGGGGCAGCCAGAGTCAGAATGACAGATGGACTGGGTCAACCAGGGTCCGACGGGAGGAGAATGAAAGACGGAAGGGAGGAGGAAACAAACCAGGGCGAAGACTATGGAGGCCAACACTCCCCAATCAAGTGACATTCTCTGAACAATTGCCCTTGTTTACTAAGAATCGGGGTGTATTGTGCACATACCCGTTGAAACTTCGCGGCTGGGGCTCCATTTGGGATGACTTGTGCTCGTTCCGTTGCTGCTGACGTGGATCGCCCTGATTGGTCAGCTGATCGGCCTGCTCTTGCTGATGCTGCTCCCGCTCCTCCTGCCCCACTGCCTGCTGCTGGTGCTGCTGTTGTTGAAACGGCTGTCGTTGCTCCTCCTGTTGCTGACTCTGCCGCTGCTGCTGCTGGTAGTTTTGCTGGGAATTCAATTCCTGCCCGTTCTGCCAGGAAATCTCCAGCTGCCCGCGGTGCAAAATCCCCCCTCCTATTCCATCACCCCGCCATCCGTTCGCGTCATTGGCCCCCTGCTGAGATGTAACGGCAGAACCGTACGAGCCCTGCTGCGCGCCGGCGGCGTTGGAACCGTACTGTAACGCGTACGCGTCGTGGCGGCACTTGCAACCGAGCTCGTACTGGCGGAAGATGTAGAGCTGCGTGGCGAGGCCCAGCACGCACAGGATGTGCCACGGCTTTATCTGCGCGGTCGCGTAGTTAAACGCCGATAGCGACGTCGGCGTTGCGGACCGCGCGTGCAGCGGCCTTCGCAGAAGGTTCTGATGTCCGCGATGCCATGATGACGATGACATTGATGGTGCTAACGTGTGCACGGAGTGCTTATTTTTTTAGGTCGTTCGGAAACAAAACGAAGAAGGCCGGCGTATGAAAGGAATAACGGATTTAGCAATATATAAACATGTAAAATGTCGAAGGAGAGCTACAGTAGCTTTGGCCAAGGTCCGACATTTGAATAAAGATCTCTAGGCATTGGGAACGCATTGGCGCAGCTTGAATAGCAGCCGCTGGCCTCAGCAATATTATCTTTGGTACACCATAGCTCCTGGCAGCAGATGCGAGATCGGAGCGCAATTCACGGAAGCAAAGCTGGCGCAGAAAATAGGCGTACTTGAACTGAAACTAGGTGGTGGTGGAGGTGGTGGTGCTGCTCTGCTCCTTGGTCAGTACCAACGCTGTACAGGCATCCTTCGCAGTCCAGGCGCCGTAACATCACTCAGTTGTGTTTCGAAGGTAACTTATTTGAGTGACCTGTCGCACGAAAGAGGCCTGACAGTAACGCGGACAGAGGTGAATGATTTACCTACCGCATTCACCTTCCCGTCAGATGTCTTTCAGCGGCGAGAGACAGCCACCTTCCCATCAGATGCTTGTTCAGCGGCAACTGTACTCGTTATTGGCACTTCTCTGCACTTCACGCCTAAGAATTTGAACATGGGTGAAAAATGGTGGTACAATCTTGATTCTCCCCGCCTTGCTGGCAGCTTGATCCTACGTGTACATTGTGACATAGTTACAAATTAACACGAAATACGAGGAGTTTGGCGAAGACTTCATTGTGTGGTAATGTGACAACTGCGTGAGCTGTTGTACAGTAATTCGGTGGCGCAGCAAGATCTCTGACGGTGACACTGTTGCCCGAATCATTAGTACGCGGCATCAGGTACTGTACAACCGCGTTGGAAACCGCGTTTGCCACATCGCGCGGCTCGTTGTCTGAAGAATGCGCGGCTCGAAATTTTCGAGATCCTACAAATAGCCCAAGCATCGAATTTCGTAGTTCAACAGTTACGGCTGAAACACAAGCCGCCATCTCCCTTCACATTCCTTATCCCCGCTTCCTCCGTGAACCCGCTGAGCGAAAAGCCGTGAATTAGCAAAAATCAGACAAAGCTCACTTGCTCGTTCTAACGAGCCTTGACGTCGGAATGTCCTTCGCAGGCGCGCCCGCAAATGAAGACAGCGAGAGCTCGCTTCCCCCTGGATTCAGGTTCCATCCCACAGATGAGGAGCTCCTCTCCTTCTACCTACCCCGCAAAATCGGCAACCAGCCCATCCCGCTTAACGCGATCGGCGACATTGACATGTACGGATTTGAGCCATGGGAGCTTCCGGGAAAGGCGATGGTGTCGCTTAATGGTAGCGATGAGTGGTTTTTCTTCGCGTCGCGCGACAGAAAGTACCTCATGGGCACGCGCGCCAATCGGATGACATCATCCGGCTACTGGAAGGCCACGGGGAAAGATCGGCCCGTGTACGCCTCGCGCAAGGAGGGAAACGAAACCCAAGGCGGCCGGGAGGAGGGCGAGTCGGTTAAAGATGCCAAAAGCGGCCGCATTGTCGGGTATAAGAAGGGCCACGTGTTCTACAAAGGCAGGGCGCCGCGGGGGGAGAAGACGGCTTGGGTGATGCACGAGTACCGGCTCGTAGAACCTAGTGACGACCCGGACTCGCTGATCGGTAGCACTGTTGAGGAAGCTTCGCATGGTGGCGCCGTTAGTGGCAAGTCAAGTGAGGGTGGTAGGAGAGTAGCGTCGGGACGAGCGGGGGTTCCCAGCCCCGCAACACACCGACAGAAGCAGCAGCAACAGCTACTACAGCAGCAGCAGCAAGGGACGTCGACGTGGGTGGTAATTCGCCTCTACAAACGCGACGCGATCCCGTTTCAGGGCGACGCGGCGAAGCGAAGCAAGCTGGGCAGTCTGAGGAAGGGACTTACATCATCGCACCACGTCAAGTCGATGTCTTTGCCTTCGTCCCCGCAGGAACTCGCGTCCGCCAAGTCGTGGCCCGCTTCGGACTCCCTCGATGACGGTGTGGATGCGGAATCTGCGGAGGATGACGTCACCGCTGCCGAGGAGAGTGATGGGATGAATGCGGCGCCTGTAGCATCTGGCGAGGGACCCATTGAAGCCGATCTACTGCATGGTAGTAGCAGACTCGTGACGCGGGTTACTACCGCGAGCTCTGACATCGTCGGCAGGCACAGCGAGGAGGGTACATTCTCCAGAGACGACGGGAGAATCAGTGTAGTGAAAAGTGCGGGGGAGGCTAGTAACATTTGGATGAGGATGGACAGTGACGGAGGGAGCGCTCCTGACAGTGGACTCTTCTCAACGGAACCACGAAATGCGAACGCTCAGCCGCAACTTGCGATCACTGCAAGTGGCAGCAGCGAAAACCCACCGAGCTGGAGTTTCCATGGGTCAGCGCCGGTGGCACGAGTGCCATCGGCTCACACCATCGCGTCCTTGGAAGCGCTTCTGCTGGCAGATGATAATCCGGATGTCACGGAACATGTGAGTCATGACGCGATGACGTGGGCTCCACATGACGTGTCCCATCAAGTGGATGTGACCCAGGATGCGACTTGGTGGTCTACACCCACGCAGAACGATGGGCCGTCGGGAGTTGCTGGCTCTCAAGCGGGCTATGAAACCGCATCAGTTGCTCTTCTGCCATGGGTGCAGTTCTCCACTCCGCAGGAGCAGCTTGACAAGGAAGTCGCCGAAGCGCTGCAGCAAGTGTCGCACATGCCTCAGTTGCCTCACATGCACACGACAACAGAACCATCCAACCTGGCCTCCCTCCTGTTCGCTAACCTTGCATCTCCTCCTATCTTCCAGTCCGTCCCCTTCACTCAGTCCGCGCCAACCACCACCTCTCATGGATCATTCACACAGCCAGAGGTTGGAAGCACGGAAAAGCAAAACCAGAGCGGTGGTGAAGGAGCGACAATGTCGGGTGGAGGTGGTTCTGTTGATTCACCACCTGGGTCGCGGTCGAAAGGCAGGAAGTCACCAAAGAGGGACCGAGAGGGAAAGCTACTCGAATGAGTAATGATTCGAAGAAATATCAATTCTGAGTAGTGGTAATAACAGCTTCTTTTTCTTTTTCGTTTTCGTCGTAGATTCATGTTCACGCTTTTTTAAGTTGGTTTCTCGAGGCGAATTCAGCCCAGCATGGTTGTCTGTTCTCTTCCTCTGATTCTGTTGAAGGCGATGTCAGGTTGCACAACTTCAGTAAGCTCCCTGCAGCCAACTTAGTTTCATCACGGCGCAAAACGACACACCTTGAGAACCGCTTCTCACCGTGTGAAACCGTCCTGAGCCACGATTCAAGAACTGAAAATGCACGAGAGACGTAGAACCTGACATCGCTATCAGTGAATGAGTGGGAATTTTGGAGTCCCAAACACAAATCAGTTTTATGCTCAGCCACGAAGGTTGGTTTCTCGAGGCGCGCATGTGCGCGTGGTTTGGAGCTTCCAGGCTCCAGCATTTCCGAGGTGCAAGGAAGGACGCTTTGCTCATCTCGCAGCGCGGTTGACCGCAAAGACGAGCACCAACCAGGAAGGTCAGTGCTCCTGACTCGCAAATGCAACTGGTGCTGCGAAGCTGCTATCCCGTGATCCTTCCAAGCACCAGTCGCGATAACGTTATTGCTGCATGGGTTGTCGAATTTAATTTTATTACTGTAGTTCTCTTATAGTATCTGAGAAATTCGCCAATTATCGTAATGTCGCACCGCTGCATGGGTTTGCTGGAAGCACTGCAGGGTAAAGAAGCATTAGCCTCATTCCAAGGGCATTACATAGAGATGCATCAACCCTGAACGTATTGCCGCATGGTATTTAGGGTTGACGTATCCACGATGCCATGCCATACCGTAGGTTTAGTTTTATTCCTGCTCCTCGACGACGCTTACGAATGTGCTCAGATTTGAAAGCATTAGAGCAGTACTTGGATACTTATCAATGTGGTAACCAGGGCTAACTTTAGTGCCAGAGCCCGTCTGACGTTAAGACTAGGTCCTGGCTGTCAAATGTACTCCTATGCTTGTAGGCTACAGTGAGTAGCACAATAGGGAGTACAGTTGTGAGGGTTGCATATTTGTACTCTATCACTTTCTAGTTTCGCCTCATTCCATTGCATTCCTATTCTGAGATGGTATCATGAGTAGGTTAGATCCTCGTTCGTTTTTAGCTAGCCTCCACGCCCTACGCGCCCTCCGTGCTCTCGCGCCCTCCGCGCCCTCCGCGCCGTCCGCGCCCTCCTCGCGCCTAGCCCGCGCCCTCCCGCGCTGTCCAGCCTGTCGCACGCCCTCCTTAGACCTCCGCGCGCCCTCCCCCACCGTTGCGCGCCCTCCAAAACCGTCGTGCGCCCTCCTTAGACCGCCACGCGCCCTCCTCAACCATCACGCGCCCTCCTCAACCGCCGCGCACCCTCCTCAACCGTCGCGCGCCCTCCTCAACCGTCGCGCGCCCTCCTTAGACCGTTGCGTGCCCTCCCCTCCGCCTGTCGCGCGCCCTCCGTCAACGCTTACCGCACACCTGCGTGCGCTTATCGCACACCTGCGTGCGCTTACCGCACACCTGCGTGCACTTACCGCATCACTCTGTGTGCGCTTCCCGCACACCTGCATGCGCTTCCCGCACACCTGCGTGCGCTTACCACACACCTGCGTACACTCACCGCACACCTGCGTGCGCTTACCGCACACCCGCGTACACTTACTGCACACCTGCGTGCGCTTACCCCACACCTACGTACACTTACTGCATCACTCTGTGCGCTTACTGCATCTCCCTCCCCTTCACCTGTGCACCGGTCCCACGCCATTCATACTGCACTTGGCTCCTGGCTTAGTGGCTGGCAGCCGCTCTTCCCTCCGGTAGCGCCACCTAGGTTCGGCTAGAGCCCCGCCCCACGACTATTTTCTCGCCGACTGTCTCTCGTCGGTTTCCCCAATGGCGTCCCTAGCCCTCCGTAGTTTTTCCTCCTTGTTCTTAGCTCTGCCTCCGCCGTGCTCCAGTCGCCTCTAGCATGGGCTCCACTATGGAGGCCCGTCGCCTCCGTTTCGATGCTGAGGGACGCCCGATCGAGTTCGGTACCTGGCAGCGCCAGACCACACGTTTCCTCACTAGCCAGCGCCAGGACGGCGCCACTCTGTGGGCCCACGCGTCGGGTGCTCTCGCGGCACCCCCGTCCCCCGCCGCCCTGCCGACCACCCCGGAGCCGACTCCTACCGCCCAGGCGGACTACGACCGTCGGGTCCTGGCTCGGGACGTGTGGCTCTCTCGTGACGCGGCCGCCGCCCTCACGCTATCGGAGCTTCTCCCCCCGAGTGAGGCCGCTCACTTTGACCAGGTGGAGACAACCAAGGGGGTTTGGGATGCTATTGTGGCTCGCTATTCCACCCCCTCCTTCGCCTCCCTCAGTCGCCTCCTCATGCCGTTCGTGTTTCCCGACCTAGGCTCGTTTGCGACTGTTTCCGACCTAATGACTCACCTCCGCTCGCTTGACGCCGGTTTTCGTGCTGCCTGTACCGACGCACAGCTCCTTGTTGCTCCCCCCCCCCATGTGGCTCGCTGTGCACTGGTTAGTCACCCGCCTCCCTGACTGCCTTGCCACTGCCCGCGACGCGCTTCTTCAGAAGCACCCCACTGAGCTCACTATAGACCTCCTTCAGACTGCTCTCGGGACCATCAAGAGCAGCCTCCTTACCGTTGCCTCCGCCACTGAGGCGGTGGCCCCCCGTCTCTTTGCGGGGTGTGCCGCCCCTCAGCCTCCCACTTTCACCTCTACCCGCGCTTCTGTTGCTGTGTCGGTCTCTGAGGACACCGCTGCCGTTTCTGCCGCAGACTAGCAGAAACGGGGCAAGAGTGGCAAGAAGGGCGGGAAGGGGGGAGGTGGGGGCGGTGGAGGTGGGAGCGGCGGTGGTGGCGGAGGCGGCGGCAGCGGCGGCGGTGGTGCGCCAGGGGGAGGAGGCCTTGGAGGAGGTGCAGGACAGACAGGCCCACCCACAGGTGGTGGCCTGATCGGTGGGGGCGTTGCCCCCCAACAGCAGCAGCCACAGCAGCACCAGCCACAGCAGCAGCAGCAGGGACAGCAGCAGCAGCAGGCACAACAGCAGTTCCAGTAGTGGGGGCCCCCGCTGCAGTAGGGTCTGCAGCAGCACTGGGGTCCCCCGCCGCAGTGGGGTCCGGGAGGCCCTGGGAGCACCGACCGCAACAGCAGCTCTTCCAGCTGGGCCCCTCGCCGTGACGCTGGCCCCTGCACCCACTGGTGCCTCACCGGGCCGGGCAGCCCCTGTCTCTGTGGTCGCGACGACCACTCTGCCGCGCGGTGCTTCCGTCGCCTCGACGAGCGCTCCGGTCTAGGGTTTAGGGTCTAAGCCGTGCTCCGGTCTCTACATTCTCCACACCGAGCGCTTCCCGGTCGCGTCCTCCCCTCAGGTCTTTGCGTCCCCTCCGGCCCAGGTCCTCAGTCCAGTTGATGTGTCTAGCCAGGTAGTCGTGTCCAGTCCGGTCGCTGCGTCCAGTCCAGTCCAGTCGTTGCGTCTTGCTCCTGTCGCTCTCTCGCCCACCGCACCGTCCTGTGGCACCACCGCCTTGGCCACCCGTCGATCCCTTGCCTTCGTGACATGCTCAGTCAGGGACTTGTCATAGGTCTCCCACGCACCTTCCCGTCGCTCCCTCCCTCGCTTGCCCCTCCTTGCTCTCCGTGCGTCGCGGGTCGCTTACGCGCCACTCCCCACTCCTCCTCCCTTCGTCCGGCCACCGCTCCCTTCGAGACTCTCCACTTGGACGTCTGGGGCCCTGCCCCGACGCAGGGGTCTGGGAGAGAGCGTTACTTTCTGGTGGTCGTCGACGACTACTCCAGGTACACCACAGTGTTCCCTCTTGCGAAGAAGTCCGAGGTGACTGCTACGCTGATCAGGTGGCTTCTAGCCACTGAGGGCACTCGTGGTCGTCGAGTCAGTTGTCTTCACTTCGACCGTGGGGGCGAGTTTCGCTCCGGCATTCTCGGCGGATTCTGCGGCGAACAGGGCATCACCCAGTCCTGGACGCTGCCAGAGTCTCCACAACAGAATGGGGTTGCTGAGTGCCGCATAGGCTTGGTTATGGACATCGCCCGCACATCCATGATCCATACCCGTGCGCCCCATTTTCTGTGGCCTCACGCGGTTCGCTACGCCGCATACCAGCTGAACCTCCAGCCGTGTGTCTCGCGGCCCGAGGCTTCACCGACCAGTCTTTGGACTGGTTCCCCTGGTGTTGGGTCGGCCTTTCGAGTCTGGGGCTGCCTTGCACTTGTTCGCGACACCTCCGCAGACAAGCTCTCGGCATGCGCCGTCCCCTGTGTCTTCCTTGGTTTCCCAGTGGACTCTGCCGACTGGTCCTTTTACCACCCGCGCCTCCACCAGTTCCTCGACTCCCGTGACGTCCGGTTTGACGAGTCTGTGTCCTACTACACCCGGTACCCCTGTCGAGGTCTCCCGGTACCCCTCCCCCCCCCCCCCCTTGTTCCTAGCACCCTCTCCTCCTCCTGCTCCTGCTCCTCCGGTACCCCCACCCCCCCCTGGTCCTGCCCCATCTGGTGTGTCCCACGCTACCCCTCTACCCTCGGTCGCGCATCAGGTAGCGTCTCCCTCCCTGCAGTCCTCCTCGCAGTCCCCTTAGCAGCCTTTGGCACTTCCGCGACAGGTTACTGTGGACTCGGTTGGTGTTGGAGCTGGAGGTGCAGCCGCTGACGGTGCTTGATCTAGGGGTGCTCGGTCGCGGGGTGCTGGAGCTGGAGGTGCTGGCGCAGGTGGCGCTGGCTCTGGGGGTGCTGGAGCTGGAGGTGCTGGCACGGGAGGTGCTAGTTCTGGGGGTGCTGGAGTTGGCGGTGCTAGCACTGGCGGTGCTAGTTCTGGGGGTGCTGGAGTTGGAGGTCCTGGCACTGGAGGTGCTGGTTCTGGGGGTGCTGAGTTTGAGGAGACTGACGCTGGAGACTCTGGTTCTGCGGAGTCCATTCCGCCTCCCCACCGCCACGACACGCGTCTCCAGGCT